TTGGGGGGGGGGGGGGGGGGGGGGGCGTGTGTCCGTCTGACTGCTTCTGTCTATGTGTGTGTGCTCCAGGTGGATGATCTCTGGTCGGATTTCGAGGTCTTGCGCACATGGTCTCTGGTCCGCAAGCACCCTGACCTTGTGCGCAAGGCCTTCAAAGACCCGATCGACAACAACACACAATCCGCATTCCTCAAGGCGGTCGGGGCGGTGATGGGGTATACCCAGGTGCATCGTCTCCGCCACGGCTACTCGTGGAACATAGGGACGACGTGCGCCAACACCAACGATGCCACCGGCAGGTATGTGAACCCCTCCCCCTCCCCTCATCCAATCCCTCACACACACACCTCTCTCTCTGTGTGTGTGTGTGTGTGTGTGTGGTGTGTATGTCTGTGTGTCTCAGGCTGGGGGTCTACGCCAATCTCGCCATACGCATCTCGGTGGCCTACTACAGCCCCGACCACATGCGCAACCTCCACATCAACGACTGGCTGGACGCAATGCGCGCGATACCCTTCATTGCCGCCGTCGGCAATGCGCGCGGCGACCTCAAGAAAGCCCTCAACATTGGCGTCAAGGCCTACAACGAGCTGGCGACCCGACAGGCCAACATAGACGCCATCTATCGTCACGAGTACAACGAGACGCGTCGCGCCGCCATGGGTGGGTGGACAAGACAGAGAGCAACACACACAGACGGCGCCACACACACAAGCCCATCACACGTTCTGATGTGTGGCAGGTGGATTTCGTTTGTCGCGCAGTGAGACCGACCCGTTCACCGCCGCGCACGTGACGCCGAACGCCACTCAAGCGATCTCGATGGTACGTGTGCCGTATCGCAATCATATCGCAGCATTCGCATCTCAGTCTATGTGTCCGTGTCTATGTGTCTAAGGGTGGTTTCGAGCTGCTGGCGAGTGGGCATCTGTGGCGCGAGTGGAGCGCAGACCCGTTCTTTGTTGAGCGGTTCGACACGTCCAAGGCCCGCGGCGCATGTCAGCCACGACACACACACACGAAAGGGAGATGAGCGGACTTCTGTGTCTGGTGTGTCCCTTTATCAGCCAAGTGTCAGTTGTTCCGCAAACTGACTCTCGAGTTCATCAAGTCAGTGCCCAACGCAGACCTCCACAAATCAATGAGAGAGGTATGACTGAGATGCGCATCAGACTGACATCCATCAGCCTGACTGTAATTGTGGTGTGTGTGTGAATTGTTGGTGTCAGATTCTCGGTGGAGCCCCACTCCGCGACGTCGTCAGGCGCACAAGTCATCCAAAGTTCGTGGGCCGTGTTGAGGCCATCTCCAACCTCAGATTCGTCGAGCCACAACAGGCAAGCTGGACTGAATGGGAGACACAGATGTGTTCTGAATCTGTGGCGCTGTCACGTTCCTGCAGCATCTCTCGTTCTCAACGACGCGGCACTTCCTGCCGAGTGGCATCCCCCGCATCTACAACAGCGAACTCCGCTTCACCACAACCATCTTCAACTATGGTAAGCCACACAGCAGCGAGCATGGGCATTGAGGACTTTGCTGTCTGGGGTTTGCAGGTCATGAGGAGGCGTTGACAGTCATGTTGGCGCGCATCGAGAGCCTGACAAGCAAAGGCCTCATCGATGCCACGCCGGTGAGGCAATCACACACTGGAGACATTGGTGATGCCTAAGGATGATGCACATTGTCTCCTGTCAGTTCAATTCCCCGTCGGACTTCCCCCACGCTGCCAAGCTGGACAAGGACAACCGTGAGGGCAAAAAGACGTGAGCAACACAAGGGTGCGACACGCCAAGCTCTGTGAATGTGTGTGTTTCTGCTGGCGTTATATTTGCAGGTATTGGGGTGTCTACGTGTCATCGACCACCAAGCCCTTCAAGGTTGGCATCGATTTCCAGTCCATCGCGACTCACACCCGCAGAACGGTACGAGCACATAGACAGACAGACAGACAGTGTCTCTCCATCTCTCTGTATCCGCCACACAGGTGGCGGAGATTCGCGCGGCCGTCAGTGAGGCCCTCGGTCGACCTGTGCAGGCGGATGCCAAGACCACGTGCGTCAAAATGCCCAAGGCCAAGACATCGAAGCAGGCACTGGCGATCGCAGATGTCACCCTCGCACAGCTCAAACGACAACGTGAGTGTGTGACGGATATACGCACACGTCATCTCACGATGATCATCTCATGATGTGTTGTTGCAGGCATCTTGTTCGGCAAGTCGGAGGCGGGCATAGCTCACGTCGCAAGTCTGAGATCCTGAGCAGTGTCGGTGTACGTGTGGATGGCGTGTTGTCTACACGTGTGGACGGTGTGTACATATTCAGACCGTACATAAAGCATTCCTGTTGAACAGGTCATCGAGTAGCCTGTGGCCGTCGGGTACACGGATCTGTGTGCGTGGTGCACTTGCACATCGAGGATGTGTTGAGCCGTCAGTCCATCAAGGATGCGTTAAAGAGCGTCCAGAAGGAGGGCATCGACACAATCGACTGCCTGATCTGCAATGCAGGTCAACAACACGTCAGCGCACTGTCACTTTCTTTGCCGCATTCTCACGTGGCAACTGTCTGTGTGTGTGCAGGCATAGCCACTGAGGGTCACCCCAACGACTCGGCACAATCGTGTGACCGAGCGGCCATGCTGCACGTGTTCGACGTCAATGTGGCCGGCGTGCTCGACTGCATCCAGACCTTCACCCCACTGCTGCGCCGCTCCGACAAGCGTCTGGTGCTGTGCATCTCGTCGCGCCTCGGCAGCATCGAGCTCAACGACACCGGCAACATCACGGCATACCGCGTGTCGAAGGCCGCTCTCAACATGCTGGTCAAGACGTTCGCTGTGGATGAGGCCAAGAGGCAGATCTCTGACGGCCTGGCGGTGGTGGCGGTGCATCCCGGCTGGACTGACACGGACATGGGGCGGTCAGGGGACAGGAAGCCCCCCCTGCCGCTCAACGAGTGTGTGGAGGGCATCGCCAAGCTGATGGCCGAGTGCAGTGCCAAGGACAGTGGCAAGTTTGTGCAGTGGGATGGGCAGGAGCTGCCATGGTAGAAAGGTTCTGGGCTGGGCTGCTGGGCTGCTTGAGAGTTTTTTTCTGTCTAATTAGAGAAGGGAGGCGCTCTCGTGTGTGTGTTCGTCCTTCATTCAGTGGCCTTCCAGTTTGCGATCTCGGTTTGCCGGTGTCTGATCAGTTCAGCGGTTGCCAAGATCGCCGAGTGTGGGGCCAGCTTGATGAAGGTGACACTATGAGAGCGAGGGAAGGAAGCTGCATCTACGCGTGCACCCGTGTGGTGAGAGCTCAAAGAGCTGCATGTGTGTGATGTGCACTGCAACTCACTGGATGGATGCCGTGGCCGACTTGCCAGCATGTGTTGATAGAGGAGCCAGAATGTATGTGTCCATAGAACATGCACGAGGACTGCCAGCACGTGCGCAACTCGCATGAAGATCTTCCTCCGCGATCAGACGTGGGGGCGTTGGGGGCGGAGGAAGACGCGACTCAGATGTGGGGCCTCGCGATGTCGAGCGCGAAGCCTCAATCCAAGTCGCCTCCGGCACCACCGGCCGATGCACCTACCACCACAACACGCCCCACTTCGAAGAAGGCCGCTGAGCGTCCTCCCGTGACCCACCACCCCATCAGCAGCCCTCCCTTCGTGTCAGGGATGGTGCCGAGCGTAGAGACCCCCCTGCTGCCACCCGAGAGCGTCGTGGTGCGGCCTGCGAGCGTCAATGTGACGACCAAGAAGAGCCTCAAGAGGGAGCTGGCTTCGTCGAAGAGAGAGGGCGAGAAAGAAAGTCGAAAGAAGAGGAAGAGAAAGACGAAGGAGGGGGAGGAGCAAGGAGACGAACAGAGGGAGGGGCAGGGGACGGCGGAAGAAGCCAACGCCGCCATACCAGAGGAGACAAGAACTGCGGACAACAACAAGCCGTGGTGAGTGAGCTGGTGGAACACTGAATGTCACCGTGTTTGTCGATGTTTGGTTGACACTGTTGTTGTGTGTGCAGGGACTTCTGCGAGGATCAGCTACTGCATTCCCTGTTCATGCAGCTCGGGAGCGACTTCTCAGCCATTGCCAACAGAATGCCAGGCCGTGACTCTCGCAGCTGCTTCGAGCGGTGGACACATCTCTGCCGCACGGCGCCCAATGTGGTATTTGCAGCCCCTCCCGTCGCCCACACGCACTTCTCCCCTGCCCCCCGCCCCCAGGTCTCCCTCCCCCTCCACCCAATCGCCACCGGCGCACGGCCGCTGTCGCCCGTCTTCCAGCCTGAACCTCCGAGCCCGGATCATTCCCCGTCTGATTTCTTGGTCTTCGCGGCCAAGCGGAAGGCTGAGGCCAGGAAGGGGAGCGAGAAAGATGAAGCGGACGAAAGCCGGAAGGAAGATGAAGCCCGACATCCAAAGGGAGCCGGTTGTGAGAGCGGGTGAGGGCAGATGAGGTTTCGATCGCACCGGTTTTCTGTCTGTCTGACATCTTCGCTTCTGTCTCTTGTGTTCGTCAGGTCCTCCCCGTCGAGGAGTCCCCCTTCGGCTCCTCGACTGGCGAGTGCCTATGGCTACTCGCCTATATTCAGGCCGCAACCAGGAAGGTATATTCTTCACTTGGCTGATTCTGTCCGGCGTCTTCCCTCATCTTTGCTTTGCTCTCTTGGTCAGGTTCTCGCCACCCAGGGCTCCCTCTTCGCCTCCTCGGATGGCCCATGGCTATTTTTCAGCCTTCGGAGAGCTGCCAACAAGGTACATGGACTGAGTAGGTGAAGGCCACGATTGTGTCTCATGTCTCCGTCTGTGTTGGCGACAGGATGCCACCCTCCCCACCACTGCGAGCCCCGTTGACAGCACCCTACGCATATCCCAATCCCATGGCCCCCTACAGTGCCAGCCGATACCCGATGACCTTCGGGCCCCGTGGCACAAGCCCACCACCGCGGGGCGTCGCTCCCTTCTGGCCTCGGGGGGGAGGGATGATGCCCATGTACGGTTACCCTGCGCCATCACGAGCACCGCTTATCGCAACCGGCGCCCCACCGCTCTCTCCTGTTCCCGGGGGCTCGGTTGGCAGGGCCAGTACGGCAACGGCCCCGTCACCTCCACTCGACGCTTCACAGCAAGACGCGCCACACAGGGAAGGGCAGAATATGAAGGAGAGGGAGGGGCGGCCGGAGGAAGATGCGTTCTTCTCACCGCCCCCTCCACTCAGCTTTTCGCCGAGCCCTCACCTGACGCCGTCGCCATACAATCCCCCGCCACCTCTGCAGATACCGCCTCTCGCCCACACAGACCACGACGAAGGTGGCTCGTCGCCTGAGACGTCACACGGCGGGGTGAGCATCCCCGAACTGGCACGGCGGGAAGCGGCGGCTAGAAGGGGCAGCACGGTTAGTCAGATGAGCAACCTGGAGGATCTTATTGCGTTGGGCTCACCAGCAGCGATGGAGAGGTTCTTCTCAGATAAGGAGAGCCCGTGACAGGTGCGTGGCTGGCGTGCGGAGGTTATGTGAGGCTGTGTATGATGATGGTTTGGGGATTGTGGCTGTCAGTCCAGAGCTCAGTAGGACTTTTTCGCATTGATGGGAGTGGGGATCGAAGCATGTGAGGGCGAAAACCTCATGCTGTGTCTCCTTCAGCCTGTGTTGATCTGCGTGCGTGTTTCGTGGACACACACACACACACCGATAGAGCTATAATGTTTTCTGCCAATCTCGGCATCACGAGACAGTCACCCAGAAGGGCATGAAGTCAGTTCGTCTGCACGTGCACGGCGGGACACACATTGACAGATACGAAGAAAAGAGCGGTGAACAGCTTCACTGTAATCGCGTCTCTGTCTGCTGTCCATAGGTCGATCTGAAACAGCCAACCGGGATATAAAATGTAGCCAGCGATTCCAAGGGAAACGCCCTCCTCCTTCCACACGCACACACACACACACACAGAGATAGAGATATATATACAGACACAGATGGGGAACGGGTTTGTGGGTGCGTACGTGGGATCTTGAGGCTGCTCTCCCACACGCAGCGCTGCTGGCTCGGAAGGTGTTGTGGCGCTCCTCCTCTCCCCTAGGCACCTCCTGTCGTGGTCGTGACGGGCTGGTGTGCTGCTGTCTGTCGGCGGGGATGCGCGGCCAACACCACGCGTCGGATTGTTCTTAACAGCAGCCGTTTAGTCACTCATTTGGCGGGGCGGGCGGGGCAGCAGCAGCAGCAGCAGTGGCCGCAGCCACACAGGGGGTTGACCCACCAGGGGCACATGTGGCTCTCGTCGCCGCCGCCCGCCTCCTCCCCCTCGATGACGACCTCCCTGGCCTCAGGTGCGGGCGATCCCTCGGTGATGCTGGTGTGCTGGGAGGGCTCCTGAGACGTGTGCTGCTGCGGGGTCGTGGGGGTGGTGTCGCCGCTGCTGGTGGGGTTGGCCTCTTTGAAGGCGTCGATGGCGGCGTCGACAGCCAGGCCTCGCACCTGTGCTCCGCCTGCAACAGCTTAGCCGCCTGGGCCTGCTGCTTCATCTTCTCCTCCTCCGCCCTCAGGAGCTCCCGGATCTCCTGCCGCCTCTTCTCCAGAAAAGCCTCCTTGGCCTCCAGCTCCTGCCGCCTCTTCTGGGCCCGCTCCTCCTGGGCCCTCTTGAGCTCCCGGCGCTTCTCCGCGATCGCGGCCTTCCGGGCAGTCTGCCTCTCGTGGAGTTCCTGGCACGTGGCCCGACGGGCCTTGCGCTCCTTGGCGAGCTGCAAGCCAGATGGACACCAAGGGAGAGAAGACACACACACAGATCTTTCACTAGCGCATGCATCCCCGCTCTCATCGCCATACGTACCGGGTGTGGGCGTCCTAGGCTTCCCTTGGCCCCCTCCTCCCACTTGTGCACCCTCTCGAGCAGGTCGCGGGCCTCCTTCAACGCTACGAACGCGCTGCCGTCCCCGCCCTTGTCGGGGTGTTTGTAGTCGCCGGACTGCACACACAGCCAGCACATTCAGCCAGCCACCAGCTCTCACGCCCGCCCCCAGTGCACGTGTGGACGTAACAGCGCCTTCTTCTTGTAAGCGTTCTTGGCCTCCTCAAACTCCGTGAACCACTTGACGCCCAGCGTCTCGCTGGCGGCCTGGGCGCCACGGAGGACTCCTGGCTCGAGCTGAGGGCTGCTGCAGTTTGCCATGATGGATGCACCTCAACAGCCAGACTACCCTGATATACACACACCCAGCAGGCATGATTGATCAGAGGGCAGTGGAGTGCAGCCACGTGCTGTGCCTGACCTCTTGCTGAGTCAGCGCGAATGTCTGTTGCTGTGTCGGCGGGTATCTGGAGCCGTGGTGGAGGTGGTCGGGCTGGTTGGGGTAGGAGGGAGTCACCCACGACGGGAAGCCACTGCCAGACACTGACAACGAGTGGAAGCGAAACACACACACTCTCTCTCTCTCTGTGTGTGTGTGTGTCTGTGTGTGTGTGTGTTATCGCCACGTACCAATCGGATGACTGAAGTCCATGCGGAAGGTTATCTCCGGCTGCCCGATGACCCGGGGCTCGTACAAACGCCTGCCGACCACACACGACAAATACTCATATGGATCCCCTCCCTCCTCGGCTTCCTGTGTGGCCTACTGAATGATCTGATTGTCGGGGAGGCACTCATCTATCGGGTTGAATGGATGGAGCCCACACGCCACTGATTCTGACCCACATGCACCACAACACACACACGCATACAAATCAGACATATAGACACACATACACGTCTTGACTTACCTCCCGAGCGGCATCTGAACAGCGACAGAGGGCCACGAGTCGGACCTGGAGCGTACCCATGGCATCCGCCGCGTACGTCGCCTCCTGCTGCTTCAAACCGATCGCCACCTGCACGCCGTAACGCCAAACCACACACACATACCCACGGTAAATGGACGGTGGTGCTGGTGTGCTGGGAGGGCTCCTGGGGCGTGTGCTGGGGGGTCGTGGGGGTGGTGTCGCCGCCGCTGGTGGGGTTGGCCTCGATGAAGGCGTCGATGGCGGCGTCGACAGCCACGCCTCCCACCTTGACCTCCGCCAGCAACAGCTTAGCCGCCTGGGCCTGCTGCATCATCTTCTCCTCCTCCTGCGCCCTCACGAACTCCCGGAGCTCCTCCCGCCATTTCTCCGCAATCGCGGCCTTCTGGGCCTTGAGCTTCTCGTGCAGCTCGTGGCACGTGGCCCGACGCGCCTTGCGCTCCTCGGCTAGCTGCAAGCCAAATAGACACCCAGGGAGAAAAAGCACACACATAGATCTTTCAATTGCGCATGCATCCCCGCTCTCAGTGGCATCTGTACCGGGTGTGGGCGTCCTAGGCATCCCTTGGCCCCCTCCTCCCACTTGTGCACCCTCTCGAGCAGGTCGCGGGCCTCCTTCAACGCTACGAACGCGCTGCCGTCCCCGCCCTTGTCGGGGTGCTTGTACTCGCCGGACTGCACACACAGCCAGCACATTCAGCCAGCCACCAGCTCTCACGCCAGCCCTCATTGCACATCCGGACTTACCAGCGCCTTCTTCCTGTATGCCTTCTTGGCCTCCTCAAACTCCGTGAACCAGGCGACACCCAGCTTTTCGCTAGCGGCCTGGGCGCCACTGAGGTCTCCTGGCTCGAGCTGAGGGTTGCTGCAGTTTGCCATGATGTTTTGCGACAAAGAGAGGGGACGCCCAGCCTCTCCCCGCCTCCCATCACTCACCCGCCCGCACTAGCTGATCCCGAAGCTGCAAGAGCCGCAGCGATGGGGTAGCGGACAGAGGCTCTTCAGGCAGCAGCGAATGGATGAAGGAATGGTGCAGCGGTGAATTGCTGTTGAAATACACCGTGCCGGTGAAAAAGAAAGCAAGTAAGAAACGTCTCCGTCTCTCGAAAGAAAGAAACTCCCGACGTTAATTCTCGCCGGAGAATTGCGAACCTTTTGGTGCGAGCTTATATTCGACAGTGTCTTGTTGTCGGGCTTCCGGCGTTTCCAAGGCTGCACAGGAGATCCGGACATCCCCACAGCCCCCCTGTGTGGTTCGGTGCTGAGATCTCGGCGCTTCACTCATCCACGGGGAAACTGCCTGTTGTGTCCCCCTTGGCTTGTGCTCCTCTGCTGCGCCATGTTTGCCCGCTTGACGCTGTCAATGGGTCTCGTCGTGGCCAACGCCATCAGTGAGATCGGCTTACGAGCTCCACAGGCAGCCGCATTCGATGAAACTGAAGCGTCGATGCGTGGCATCAGGTTGCAGCCGGCCCTTATTCAGCAGCCTTCGGTGCTGACGGTGGATGGCCCGTCGCGACGCCGGGACGTGGCTGCCTATAGGCAGCCTGGCAACATAGCCCTGATGATATTAATGGCTGCTGGCGACGCCGGGGTCAGTGAGGGAGAGCGCATCGGCGAATATGAAGTCAAGGCGGTGCTTGGGAGAGGACCACTGGGTTAGCGTATGAAGCACGTGTCAGAGGGGTAACACTGTCGCCTGTCGTATTCGTCGGTGTGCTCAGACATCACTTACAAGGCCAAGGTATCAGCCGACCACCCAACCATACCTGGGCAAACGTAGGATGGGCACGTCACCGCAGCATGACAGATGTGGCCGCAATTCTTCTCTCCCTATCTCTTCCTCTTTAGTGTGGCTGTCAAGTGCGTGTCGCTGCCCAACATGCCAAGCTGGGAGGCCGTGGGTCTGATAGAGAGGGAGGCGGGGGTTCTGCTGAACCTTAGTCAACCCGGCATCCCGGCATACGTCGCCTCTTTCCAGCAAGATAACACCACATTCTGCCTGGCACAGAAACTGGCGAAAGGACAGACATTGGAGGTCGTTTCCTAAACACACTCGACGGCAGACCGAATTGGACGATAATCCGGTTTTCTGTATGTGTGTGTGTTGACTGATACAGGAGCTGATGGCAAATGGAACACGTTTGGACGACTCGACCATCTACACGATTGCCGTCCGTTTGCTGGAGGTGCTGCGGTACATCCACACCCAAGAGCCCCCGATCATCCACAGAGACATCAAGCCAGCCAACATAGTGGTCGACCAGCTGGCAGGTGATGGCTTGAATGTTTCGCTGGTGGACTTCGGGGGCGTCACGTCGGCCGTGGCGTCACAGTAGTTCGGCAACACTTTCGTCAGCACCCCCGGATACACGGCCCCTGAACAGGTAGGCATGTTGACACGACAGGCAGGACAGAGAGAGCGGTCGGTTCTCATGGAATCATTTGTGCGTGTATGCAGTTCAGTGGGGTATCGTCAGTACAGACGGACCTTTACTCAGTCGGCGCCACGCTGCTGCTCCTCATCACAGGCGGCCGAGAGCCATCAGCCTTCCCTACGCGAAGATTGCGGGTGGACTTTGCGTCATCCCTACCGGATCAGTGGACGCCGTTCATGAGTTCGCTAGTGGCAGTCACCAAGCGTCTGATACAACCGGCGCCAGAGGACCGATACGCATCGGCAGAGGAGGCTTTGAATGACCTGCAGACCCGTTTGAATGAGGCGAACCAGAGACTCAAGGCAGCCACGGAAGCCCAACACGAGACGCAGAAAAGGGTGGATTCACTTCACACGAGAGTAGAGTTTCCCCTGCTGGTTGGCTGCAGGTACACACGCGTGTCTGGCTCGCGCGTGTGTGTGTGGCTTATGCAGATAGTGAAGAATGTGGGCGTCTATGCTCCTGTGACCGGCTCTCGGGTGGGTATCTCGATGGATGAAGAGGGGCTCCTGAAAATCCGCGTACCACCTTCGCTACTCGGCTTCCGATACTACCTCCTCGACGTGAGTATGTGTGCATGAGCTCTCATCCCTCCGTTCGGTTGTTTGCCCGTCGCTTTCCCTGTATGTGTAGACCTTCTTTGGATTATGTGTCGGAGCCGCAGCCCTAAAACTGACCACCTACTGGGCAGTAAGTCGGCTGACTGACTGCGGTAGGTATACAAATGTCTCTGCCTGTGTGTGGTCCGCCATGTCAGAGCAACTGGGAGACGCTCGACAACGGCCGTTGGGTGCTTCCTCTGCTGTTCATTCCGGCGTGGGCGGTCGGCCTGAGGTATCTCCGCTACCCGCTGCGTGCTGTGGCGGAGAGGACCAATCTGCTGATCGGCCCTTACACCACGGACATACGCACCTACTTGTTCGGTGTGCGGCGGAGCCGCGTTGTCGGCTCGACGGCAGGTATGTGTGAGAGAGAAAGGCAAGAAAAGGGGATGCTTCAGTGCGCGTGAATGATGGATGGTGGATGGGTGCAGACCTGTACGAGCCGAAGATTGAGACGCTTGAGACAGTTTGGGCTCGACCGTACGACCCCAATCCAGAGGCTCTCAAGCTGCAGCAGGGCATTGTGTAAGTAAGTGCACACACAGATGAATAGCCAGGCTGCCTGTGATCCATCCATTGATTGATGTTATATGTGTATATGGCAGGAACCATCTGCTGGCTCTGGGGTTGACAGACACGGAGCGGCAGCTCATCAAAGCTCAGATCAATCTGTACCTCAAGGAGTTCAACAAGAGCCGGAACAACTAGATACTTACTGTGGTTGTATGTAGGCAGACAGGCCATGCAACGTGCGTCTCTCTCGCTGTTTTGTTCGGCTGCTGTTGGGCGCGATGCGCCTTGATAACCTTAAGCCTGGGGTTCATGCTCGATATGTGTAACATTAACGTGGACAGAGTGTCCGTGCAGACATATGTACGAACGAACACGCATTGTCCATCAATCAGACTCACATGAGTATCGACAGATGCACGGCTCCCCCATGCAGTCAGTCCATCCACGCAAACACAACATATATGGCACTCAGCACACCACACGCACTATACACTCAAGCGTCCCGACTTTGCCTGTCTCCCTCCGTACCCCAGCCGGCCCGGCCGCCTCCCTTCGTCTTCTCATCCGAGCTGCGGCGTGGTCCACCCTCCCACCCTCCGTCTGTGTGTGTTGTGTGTGTTCCTTTCTCACTTACCTTCTCTCGCAGTGCATCTCGGTGTGTTTGCTCCCTTGTGACGGCTGCGTACGTGTATTCCACGCACGTGACCGGGGGCTCACGCCTCTCCGCAGAGCAGAGAGCGCCACAAGGGCTGCTGTGGTCCCTCGCCTTCTATGCCATCACGCCTCTCGTTCCTACCTCCACACACACGTACACACACACACACACACACAGGTGTCAGTTGGCCTTCCCCAGCGTGTCAAGCGATTCGGACTCACTCAACTTACCGAGGTATGCACCGTTGCAGCCCGACGACTCGTTGCCGACCCGTCGGACGACTGGGTGGGCTATGCCCAGCCGCTCCACCCGCCGGAAGGTAATATGCAGACAGCCCTGTACAGAGCCGTCCGCAGAAAGCGCACACCCTGAAGGATTGCACACTCCTCCCTGACGAGTGTGCTGCCCTGTTCTGGCGGACCCTCCGCCTCCTCTGCCCCCGCCGAGCTGGTGGCTGTCAGTTGGGTGCGCTCTCGGCTCGTGCACCTGAGTGCACCTGCATGCAAGACCCACATCAGAACAGCTCGAGATGGATGGAATTGATGGAGGGAGGGAGGGTGGGCCACGCCGCGGCTCAGACGGTATGATGAGGGAAGGGGGCAGGCCGGGGGACGGAGAGGGCGTTGGAGCCGACTCGGACACACAAACAATAGCCAAAGACAACACAATTGGGCGAGAACCGTCCGGTGTTTTGTGTCCATCGGGTGTATGCGTGTTGCGTGTGTGCGGGCGTTGACCTTTCTCGCCAATATGGCATTCTCGTCAGCGTCCTTTAGGGAGCACGGTGACCACCAGCAAGGCCGGGCGGCTGCTCTCGAGGCCGCAGCAAGCCGCCCAGCGAGCGCATCTATGGCAGATCTGCAGCCGCACAGCACATCCACAAGATCAACCATCCCATTTCCCCGGCAGGTCTTCCACTGCCGCTACCTGCGTACCTTGCCCATCAAGATCTTGTCGGTGAGGACAGATCTCCCCGATGTCTCCCTCGCGAAGGGCGGCCCATCATGATCCATGACGATGGTCAGGCAAAGAGGAAAACAGAGGAAAAGGAGCGACCCGGAACAGAGGTGCTCAGATGGAATTTACAGAGTGTCGGCACCCCCAAGGGTGTTTCTCGCATACGGTAAGCTGGAGAGGTGCCGTTGCACTGTAATCAGTGAGAGGCACCGTCTGAGGCGACGGCGGGAGCTGCAAAGCCTTCTCAGATCAGCAGACGGGCCCCAAGAAGGAGGGGGAGCTCCAGCGGAAAGGCTGAAGAGGATCTGGCTGTATCTGGCTGCGCACCGTCATGCCGGCCAATGAGGAAGGTCAGCGGTGGATGGATGGATGGATGCACCATTGCAATTACCACGCTGTCTGTGTCTGAACGAATGGATGGATGGATACAGAGGAGCATGACAAGACCTACCAGGTCGACCACCAGCACACCTACTACCACTACTACCCTGACCCCAGAGACCACACAATGGTCATACTCGATTATGACAACACGTAAGATACGCACTGCGGATGTACTGTACCCGCATCGTGGACATGACGCTTTCTGTTCCATGCGTTGTGGTCTGCTCAGATTGTTTCCGACGTCTGTATGGCGTAGTGACGCCTTCCGCCGGCTGCTCGACCCCCAAAAGGCCGCACTTCTCGTCGCGAGCGGTGCATCGGCCTACCGGTTGGTGGCACACTGTGCGGCGTGGTCGCGGGTGGTGATCGTGTCCAATGGGAAACGGTTGTGGTAGGCACACCATCCACTCGCACAGATCTACACCAATTGCCAATTCCTCTGGTTGTGCGTGTGTGTCTGCGCGTGTGTGTGTGTCAGGCTGAACACGTCGCTCAAGCTGCCGGGGTACGAGCGCCTGCGGGCCCTCCTGCAGGACAACGAGATCCCCGTCCTCTCTGCGAAGGAACACGCCAAACTCTGTGGCCTGGATGACCAGGAGGCGTGTGTGTGGAAGGTCAGAGAGACATGGCTGGCAGAGACACCAGAAAGAAGGAGGCGGAGGGAGGGAGGGAGGCGAGAAAAGTTTGTGTGTGTATGTGTGTGTGCGTGTGTGTGTCTCATCCGTTGGATCAGCGTTTGTGCTGCGCGGAGTTGCTGGCATACTATCACGAGAGAGGCATTATGCCGCTGCGCGTCGTGTCAATCGGGGACAAGGAACTAGATCTGAGCGCTATCGAGGCAAACAGAAGGTGCAGCACACGCACATTTACATGGCCGGATGAGTTGTGTGTGGTGCATCCAGGTATCTCGAGGAGGGCACGCTGCTTAAGATCAAACTGGTGGAGGGGCCCACTGTGGACGAGCTCATCAAGGTCCGTGGGTCAGAGAGACACATGCGCTCATGTCGTGTGCGCTCTTGACGTACATGTGTGTGTGTGTGTGTGTGTGTGTCAGGAGCACGAGTTGCTGAGCACCCATCTGCTGAGCCTTCTGGCCCACTCACACATGGAAAACTATGAGGTGGTAGGTCTGTCAGGACATGATGGATATGATGCATGCCATCAGTCCATTAATCCCATCCATTGTGTGCCTCACCTCACATGCAGGTGTACCATGACACCGATGGCGACGATGACGAGGGCGAACAAGAGGAGCTCTCCCTCAGCCCCATCGACCACCCAGAAGTAGATGACCCCCAGACATAGTGAGGAAAACAGCACCCATCCACCCTCACACAGAGAGAGAGAGAGAGAGAGAGAGAAACCAGAAAGAGAGAGACACCATCCAGCCATCCACCGACCCACGTGGATGTGTGTGTGCAGCTTCTCGTCCTTCGACCTGGACGGCACCACCGTGTGCCGCCCCAGCTAGCGCCCGGACCACACCATCGCACGGATCAACATCTGGGACATGGATGACGAAGATGACGAGGACCAAACCGACCCTGACGAGGCCGACCAGGAGGACCAGGATGAAGATGGGGAAGACGGCGATGGCCATGAGGGGGCCAAGCGCAAGTGGGCCGGCGACGGTGTGTGCGACGCGGCGGCCAAGCGTCACTGCTGCAGTGACCAGGAGCAGCTGGCAGAGCGGGACGAGAGTGAGGGTGAGGACCAGGAATGCGAGGAAGAGGCAGAGGAAGAGGACGACGAGTGATGGCCGCCTTCGGTCTGTGCACAGTGCGTGCCATCACGATTGGATGGGTGGGTGTCTGGGTGTGCCAACTGCCAATGCTCTCGTGGATGGATGGAAGGATGCGTTCAATGGTGTTTGAGGGAGGGTGAGCTGCATGGAGGTGTATAGTGGACGTGAGACACTCACTCACGGACGAGATGAATGACATACTGACATGCCAAGTGAGTCACTCGAGGATACGATGGATGCCGACGCGCAGACAGACTGACACACAGACAGACGCTAGCTACTCACATCACACACGCACCGCACACCCACTAATTAGCCACTCTGATCTGTACAGACAGGATCGTGACAGACATGAGCATCTGACCTGCCTCCCTCCCTCCCTAGGTCGGTCACATCACAGCAGGTCCCAGAAGTAGTCGTGTCCCTGCCCAAGCTCCCATATCGACACACCCACACCCACGCGACGCGCCAATTCCAGCCGCTCCTCCAAGAACTGCACACATACATTCAAACACACAGATGCAGCACCCACCATGCAGCCCAAGGCGTGTTGTCCATAGCGTGTTTGGCAGGTCACCCACCTTCAGTGTGGGAAAGTAGATGCGCACAGTGCCGTCAGACACCTGCAATGAATGCAATACACCAGGAGAGCCATTAAGGCGATTGATTGTGTTTGTTGTCTCTGTCAGTGGAGTGGCTGGTCTGACCTGGACGTCGGCATGGTGTTCCTTCGCCTGGTCGTCCCAGTGCAGCGTGGCCGGGGCTGACTTGAGCAAAGTCACGATCTCCTGCCCCAAGATGGACGACGCAACTGCACCGAACCGACACACACAGAAGTGCATCGATCTCATGTGTGTTTGGGCGAGTGTGTATGCATACCTGCTTTTCGGCTCTCTGAAAGATCCCAGGTCCGACCGTAGAACGGCAGGCCCTTCAAGCCCAACACATACACACACACACACCCCACAGGACAGACAGCATAAACGAGTAGATGATCGTGCCCCGCTGTCTAGGGTGGTCACCATGAGCAGCTGTGATGCTGCATTGGGTGGAGTAGAGGGGTCCTTCGGCGTCAGCAAGCCACTCACAATGCGCTCCAGCCACTGCAGTGACCACACACAGAACCACGATCGACCGATGCATTGAGTCGCACATAACATACATGTGGGTGAAGGCTCACACCTGGATTGGAGCACTCGGTCCCGGCCTGATGTCGGCACACACACACAGAGAGAGATATGGTCGCTCTGTTGCGTATCGGCGCGGATGCAGTGAGTGGCGGTCTAATCTAACTTACGTTCGTCCGAGTGTGTGGTCGTATGTCATGAGGACGAAGCGGTGGATGGACGAGGAAAGGTCCCGCATGTCATCGAACGTGAAGGGCACACGCAGGTCGACGTCATCCAGCCGATTGAAGGGCTGCACCAGGGGAGAGAGAGAGATGACAAGAGGGAGGCAAGCAAGGATGGGCAGAGAGTCCAGTCTGCTCACTGCACCTACTTACCGGTAGAACGAACATTGCGATGAGCCCCTGGTGCTGCAGACCCTCACCCACACTCTGCAAGCACAACACAACACGACAAATGTGCTCTGCGGCGTGGTCTGTCTGTCGAGGATTCATTAGCTGCTGTGTACCTTCAGCCACGATTTGGCCGTCTGTTTGACGCCCTCTACCATGAGGATGATGCCCTCGATCACCACACCGTGAAAGCCCCGATCACTGAACACACACACATCCACACGCACGAGGGAAGAGGTGCTGTGTGTGGGATGTTCCCCGGCCCCCCTCACTGACTGACCTGCACAGCTGTGACACAAAGTCTACGAACACCTGTGGCTGCGTCAGGAATGATTCCAGCTTGCTGCTGTTGCGAAAGTCCTCCACCGCTGCACACACACACACAGGGGAGGGATGTGAGTGCATACGCGATCAATGTGCAGTGGCCGTGTCTTTTGTCTGCGTACGTACCGATTCGTGGCACTACCAATGTGCGAGTGTTGCTGTCGGTTGGCTCGCTGATGACCTCCACCCAATCGCTGTCTATCACGTCAAGACCCGCAAACTGCACACACAACGACCGAAACACAGCAACACCCACCATGATGCAAGTACGTACGCTACTGCGACAGACGGACAGACAGACAGACCTGGAAGTCGCCTGACACCTGCTGTCCCTCCCCTGTCCCCTCCCCCCTCTCAATCACACGCAGCCAGACAGGCGACACATACGTCAGCTTCCTACACACACCAAACAGACAGACCGGTACGCAGAGGGCATTCTCTGCTCTGAGCAGTGAGTACACCCATTTGGCCGACCTGCGAAAGTAGTAGCTGGTCTTGAAGCCGCCTTCGTTCCAGGGCGTGACAAAGCCAAGCACCTCATTGGCAAAGTTGACCCTCGACGCATTGCAGAAGAGCTTGTGCTGCGCGATGACGTCCTCCGCGCTGATGCCGCTCTTGATCAAGCCCAGCTCGGCAGCACACTTCTCTCTCACCCGCTTCTTGCCTGCAGCCGAGGGCGAAATGCACAGCCCCACGACGATAAGCAACAGATATAGTGAGAGGACGGCAGACGGCCGACGCTGCCGCGATGCTGCTGGTGCTGAAAATGAAGAGTGCGTCGGCATCCCCTTCATGGCCGCCGGGCCTCTGCATAGATCTGCGGATGGGCAGCGAGCAATTGAAGCATATGATCAATGGAACGCCCTGGGGCTGTGCAGGGCCGTCTGTCGTGCTGGAAACAGTCCTCTTCTCTGCGCAGCAGATTCGACGCCCTAAGCTCGCAACCGAAGGAGGAGCCGAAGGAGGAAGAGGGGCTGCAGAGGTACACACGACGATAAGCAGACTCACAGATCGCCATTGATAACTGATTGATTCATTATTCGATGCATCTCCTACGTGGTGCATTCCAAAGCACCGCCTGTCTGACGTCTGACACGCCATGGGAGGTCAGCAGCACAGCACAGCACGTGCACATCCACGGTGCAACCAATGCTTGCTGTTGCTGTGTGTGTCTGTCTTCTGGTCAGGAAAACTGTAGGGTGCTCGAGTCGCTCCGCCTCCATCCCCCCGTGGCTGCCTGTGCATTCCTCTCGATGCCATCGTTGCCACTCGCGAGCTCAGCGACATCTCTGCAACGGCACACTCACAAAGGAGCGGGCGCAAGAGCTGAGGTCGAATCGCCATGTGACAGCCCATCCCCGTTCCACCGGACGGCTGACAGAGATAGCATCAATCGGATAGCCAACGACTGCCTCCCTGCGGCCTGTTGAAACATGACCATCGAGGGGCTGTCAGTGTCGAGGGGCGAGGAGGAGCGACTCCATAGTGCCAATCGAGACCGATCTTTCTGCTGCGCTTGGTTTGAGGTGCTGAGTGTGTGTCATTTACGAGTCTGTCACTTCGGTTATGAGCTTTTTAGTTGGTCCCTGCACACTGAGCTCGTGAGTGAGACGCGATGTGCGTGCTGCGACATCCTTGCATCTGTTTAATCGTCCTTGAGGGATCGTGTTGAGTGTCTGCAGTGAGGTGTGGGCACTCGACACACAAACACAACACGTACGTAGACGCCACCATTCTGCTGACCACGACAGCGAAGAACAGGCACACACACACACACACACACAAACAAACACGCACATTCCGCACAGGAAGGAAAGCCTTGTCGATACGCGGCACATCACACGTATGGCTTTTGTGTGTGCGTGTGTGGTGCCGCCATGCATCAATGCAGTGCATGTGGTGGTCTGTGTGGTGGTCTCTTGGTTACGTGTCAGTGACTTGAACCCAAATAAGCATGAGTGCACAGTTGTTGAATGGACACTCCTATCTGCTAACCTTTCCCCCCATGGCGATTCAACAACTGTGCAGAATAGGAAGTGCCTAAGGAAAAACTTACTCACGGCGAACTGACATAAAATCACGTCAGAACAGCACAGCCAGCTACTTTCACACATGCCATGAAGCTACTCTGTTTCTGGAAGGTAAGCATCGATCAGTATAGTACATGCAGACGGCAGGAGGGACACGCAACACACAACACACAACACGCTGGCTATCCACACAATGCTATCCACATACACACGAACGAGGGACACACCTACGTTCATGCACAGCGCTCATTCGCTCTCCGTCTACACGCTCCAAATGGCACAGTGATTCGCTCTACTCAAGCAGCCAAGAGCTCAGACAGACTCGTCAATCGTCAGGAGGATCTCGTATCATCCTCTGGCTTGACGGCGCACTCTAGCCCAGCAAATGTCGAGGGCCGCGTCGATGGCTCTCGGTCCGGCTCGCTGACCGCCAGAGACATCGCAGTCACTGTGGCTGTGAGGGGCGGGAGTGCCGTGTGCATCGTCGCGGCAGACGGGATGGTGACCGAGGGGGGCTGTGCGGGCGACACTGCCGTGCTGACGCGAACAGCGGGCATGCGGAGGTGCCTCTGTCTCTCGGCCTCTTCCACACTGCACCAGATGATGCAGCAGCCGAGAAAAAGGAGGGCGGGCAAACCCACTAAGAAGGACACTGCACGCACACGGCGCAGTGCCAGATGCACTCACTCTCACAGGTCGTGTCGCGTGCTTACCGGCAATCGTGTCTTCAGTCTTCTACGGCCTTCCCTTTGGCTTGTTGTCGGCATCACTCCCAGCGGAACCGTTGCTCTCTCTGCGGCGTCGTGTGCTCCTGCCGCCGCCAATAATAATGAGAGCAGCAGAGAGGAATCGCTCAGCAACCGTTCCGGATGTTCTGGACGCTCCGCCAGAGAAACGTCTGCCACCGGATGCTCCCTTCAAGCTGCGCGGCGGTCCTTCTGCGTCGACGAGGGGCGTGATCTCCGACAACGGAAGCACACAGATGAGAAGCAGAGAGATCAGAAGATGGAATCCAGAAAGGCGCATGCCCTTGGACGCAGCAGTAAGTAGACAGATGAGGGAAGGACAACGTGCGACAAAACAACTCAAGCTCGCAGGGATTCCGTGAAACTGCTCGCAGCAAGGACAACTTCTGATGGTGGATGATAAGTTTCATTATTGATGCAGAGCTCGCGCTTCCTGAGTTGTGTGTCGTGAAGCAGAGAGCCGGAAGGTGCTCTTGTGCTGCGGCGAGTGGAGGGGGCACAAACATGCTGATAAGAGCGACCAGAACAGTGACAGTGATGAGGACATGGACGAGCAGCCGGGTGGTGGCGAAGATGACGGAGTGACAAGACAGCGCTGCGAGGCCGTCCCCCTCGCCAATCTTCCCCCCAGCCACTTCTACCGCGTCACATGCAGCGCCGGAAGGTTGTGGCCATCCATTCTTCACGGCATTCCTCACCTTGACGACTCTGGGAGTGGAGAAGAGGCGCGGGCAGCTGATGCTCTTGTCGACATTCATGTGACAGTCGCATTTTGTCCCTGATGATGGAGACTACACCGACGAGCATCCACATCCACGTGACGGGGACGGCAAACACCGACATCATTGCAGGCAACCTGGAGAATATCAGTGGCGAAATCCGCCTGTGGACGATGGAGGCACCACTAAAGGACAGCACAGATATCAAGCCGCCCGCCCTCTGCTGGCTAGATACGGGATGGATGAGGCCTTGCGTGCCTGAGGCTGCCATCGACCGACGGCAAGACGTGGCTAAAGAGGGGCAGGCCTACGGCACACGGGCCTTGCCACTATGTTGTGCCGCCGTTCGATGCAGCCGCCTGGCGTCGTGCTGCCTTGTGAAGAGAGGAAGAGTAAGTCCACGAAGGTGTGCTCCTCTGCAGCCCGAGGTGAGAGGCTGTTGAGGGCAGAAAGGAAAGCCTTGTCGAGTCTGTTGAAAAGGGCGTGTAGCGATATGGGGGTGCTGGCTGAATCGTTGGTTTGCATGTGCTAACGTGCTGGCTACATCCGTCAGTACGTGCGTTTGTGTGTTGGTTGACGCCATCATGTGTAGCTGATCCAGACACTCGTCCCCATACACGTGCACCTGTGTGTGAAGGCGGGTGTCTGGATTGCTTATGTGTGTGTGGACGCACCGAATACACGAAAGACTGGGGATGAACAGACAATTGATTGCAAGTGAGTGCACACTGACCTAATGCGTCCTTCCCTCTCTTTTCCGCGATAAGCCATCCACCCGCTGCCCACACACACCACGAACACTGAGAACTACTACTTTCACATACATACACCCACACAGTATGCACACAGGCCATGAAACTACTCTCCTTCTATCTACTCTCGCAGTTGATTACCACGGAAGAGGAAAAACCCCAGGCAGGCAGGCAGGCCCACGGGACGACAACCACACACACATGCAACACGCACACGTCGGCTGTTCACACACAGTGCTATTCACATACAGCAGGTCGGACAGAACACACAGACACGCATCGCGCCCTCCCTCCCTCCCTCCCTCCCTCGCCTCTACTCAGTCGCTCTCTGTCCACACACGCAGTACACACACTCGCTCTACTCAAAGCAGCCAAGAGCCCAGACAGACTCGTCAATTAGGCCCTCGCCGTATCCTGCGGCTCCAGTCCATCAAATGTCGACGGCCGTGTCGATGGCTCTCGCTCCGGTTCGCTGACCACCACTGCAGTCACTGCTGTGGTGAGGGGCGGGAGTGCCGTGTGAGCCATGGCGGCAGACGGGATGGTGACCGAGACGGGCTGTGCGGGCGACACTGCCGTGCTAATGCCAACAGCGGGCATGTGGTGGTGCCTCTGTCTCTCGGCCTCATCCTTACGCGCCTTCATGATGCAGCAGCCGAGAAAAACGAAGCCGAGGGGGGGAAAAAGACCAAAGATGATCGGTGGGAGGGCACTAAGTGATCCATCTTGAGGCTTGGATGGGCTGTCGCTGACTGGTGGTCGCTGATGACGATTGGCCGGCCCGCAACCGTTCCGGATGTTCTGGACGCTCCGCCAGAGAAACGTCTGCCACCGGATGCTCCCTTCAAGCTGCGCGGCGGTGCTTCTGCGTCGACGAGGGGCGTGATCTCCGGCAACAGGAGCACACAGGTGAGAAGCGGAGAGATCAGAAGATGGAATCGAGCAGAAACGCGCATACCCTTTTGACGCAGCAGACGCAGAATAGCCCCGGATGAGTAGACAGGTTGCGGAAGCGAAGGAAGAGAGTCGCGAAGGCACGACAAAACAGCTCAAGCTCGCAGAAGAGGGCCTTGTCCCCCACGAGACCTTAGAAAGAGTCTGTGTGAATAGAGAATATGGCAGAAGGGACTCCGATTGGGGAGGATGGATCTCTTGGACTCCGATTCCCGGCCTGGAGTGACATCGTCCAAGAGATATTCCCCACCGTCCCGCTCCACAGAGGTCCGCCGTTGCCTCCCCCTGGTGCTCTGAGACTCACGCTTCCTGTTTCTCTCTTGCGGCCTGATGGTCGCTTCACGGCCGTCGACGATGAACTCATGACCGTTCTGCAGAACGGTGAGCACACGGGGGGGATGAAAAGCACGGAAGACGCCAGTTCTGCATCATGGCTGTTGTCCCCCTATCTGTGTGTGTTCGTGCATGCAGCGCCAGACGAGTTGCTGGAGGGCGTCGTGACATGTCCCCTCACTCTTCAGCCCATCCGGGTGCCCGCCTCCACCCCGTCAGGCAAGACATACGAGCACTCGGCCATCACACAGCACATTCGGACAAACACCTTCCGAGCACGGTCGCCCCAGACCAACAGCCTCTTGCTTGAGGGCGACCTGCGGCCAAACCACGTGGCCGTCGAGATCAACGAACTTCGGGCGAAACAGGTGAGGATGTCACTGGGGGCGGGTGATGATGTATTTGCCAATCCGTGTGTGTGCGCCGCGCCGCGCTCGTGTGTGTCTGTGTGTCAGATTGTCCGTGACCAGGACGCTGCTCTAGGTGGGAGTGGTAATGTGGGAGCCTCGAGGTCTTCGCTGGCTGGTGCGCATCAACACGCAATTGTGAAGTCGCTCTCTGTGTGTGTTGTCAATGGGCTGATGTGTGTGTCTGGGTGCAGGTGTCCCATCGGTGCTGCGTGAGTACTGGGAGGCTTACAAGGCCGCTGCTGTCAGTGCTATTGCCGGCAGCATCGCCCTCGAGCCGTCCCGCACCCTTCTGCAACTGGTGAGGGCAGGCGAACGTATTAAGTGGATGTACTCATTTCACCGCGTGTTGTTCGTTCGTTGTGCGAATGCAGCTGCGTGGAGACCCGTCGAGCACCATGGAGCTGATGGTGTGGCACAAGCAGCAGGTCACCGACAAAGAGGTATGTCTTCATGACACCAAACAGAGCATCCACCTCCACCCATGGCTGCTGGCCTTACTTACCGGCAGGAGTTGAACACCTCCTATCCCGTGCAGCTGCGCCCCGCCGTGCAGACCCAGCTCGTGACATGGCTGACGGCACCACCCACACCCACTCCCACTCCCACACCCACTCAGGACACCCCCCCTCCCTCCCCTCACTCCCAGCCCACCAGCAGCCGCAACGCCTCACGCAAGATACTCAACCGCGCGGCAACCACCGCTCCCAGTGCAACCACGCAGCATCGCACCAACTCGTCTCGGCGAATCCAGAATGCCAAACTGCCCGCTCACTCGTCGTTCGGGCAGGGCGGCAAGGGAGCGCCGGTCATCACTAGTCTGCCGCACCAGCTGCTCGTGGATGGCGTGACGGCCATACTGGGGCGGCTGTTCGGGTGACGGATGGGGCGGGAGGGGGAGAGGGGAGGTTTGCTGGATTGTGCCTTATGTGTATAGTAATACTCGGAGCGGAAGGATGTTTTTTCGGTTCTCTCTTTTGCTTTTTATGCCGTAATTCGCGAGAGGGAGGCGTCTTTCCACGTGTATAGTCCTCCGGGACAGGGTGCGGTGAGTGAGTGGATGGATGGGTGGGGAGGGGTCGTGCACGTGTGTGTGGAGACTTCCAATCAAATCAACACGTGTCTTTTTCCAGCACCGGTGGGAATGGGAGGCATTCGGCGTTTTGATGATCCGCCGCTGGATGGCGAGAAAGGTCGGGTTTGCGGCCATCCGACGGGTCCTGCTTCGCTGTGCCCTCTCCGTTGCTTCCTGGCGGAGAGGACAAGGCTGAGGGGGAGCTGCGGGATGGCTGCAAACCTGACAGACAGACAGACAGACAGACACAGAGAGAGCGCGCGAGGCGGGGAGACCACAGAGAATGTACAAAGCACTTGGCTGGATGTGTACACACACATGAACCTGTCTGTCTGGTCTGGGACCTCCACACATCGGTGCACACTCCGCCCTTTCCGTTGCTGCTCCTGACGGAGAGGACACGGTGTGTGCGACGAGTGGCAGGATGGCCGCGAACGGACTCGCAGGCAGGCAGAGGGGAGATAGCGAGCACATACGAGTCACATGCACGGATTGGTTGGGTACTGAGCTTGCGGCCGTCACAACGCCCTTCTCCACGCTTTTTCTTTCCGCTGCTCCTGGCGGAGGGGAGACGCGTGAAGGACGGGAGTGAGATTGCCGCAAGCCTGACCCGTAGAGAGAGAGAGAGAGAGAGAGAGAGCAAGGCAGGGAGACCACAGAGGAGTGGAGGGAGAAGAGGAGGAGACCACAGAGGATGGATGTACAGCGTACCTGTACGCTGCGTACACCTGTCTGTGTACCATACGTGGAAAGCAATGCATGGACTCACCGTCGGCTGACTGAGATAATGGATGGGCTCAGAGGCGCCCTGTGTATATCGATAACATACATAACTAGCCCAACGACTGCTTCACTGATGGACGGTCACGATGGACACTGGGAGGGAAGGGGTCGAGGGGGGAGGGGCGGTGAGGGCTGCCATGGCGCCGCTGCAGTGCCATCCATGTGTTCTTGCCTTGCTGCCTGGATGGTTCAGTGGACGGGTGCTTATGTACTATATGACGTGTGGATGGACACACAGGTATCTATCGGGGTGGGCGGACTCTGTATGTTTCGACTCATCAAATCCTCAATGTGTGTGTACGCACCGCACCCGTATGTCACAAGAAATACGATCGATCACCGTTGGTACGAATGTTTTGAGGGAGTGACCGAGTCCATACACACACCCACACGATGAACAGACAGACTCATACATGCAGGCAGGCACACACCGCACGCGTTGTCCTGCACGTAGCCTTGACACAGCCACATACACAGGCAAAGCCGTGAGCATCGCATCGATGGTAAGGCAGCCAAGAGGGCAATAGAAGACAACAAAGAGGGTCTGTACAACGATTCATCCATTCCTCCCTCCCTCCCTCCCTTCATTCGTTCCATCGCTGTGGCTACAGATAGATAGTGCGGGCTGTCACATAGAATTGCAGTGTGTCGAGACGGGCAGATAGGCGGACGTATCAAGGCATCACAAGACAGAGCACCAGGGAGCCGTGAGGGCCCTTCGGCAGCAGAAGAGCGACCACTCGCTCATCCATCCATCCATCCCATCCATGGCAGCTGCATGGTTCGGTCGCCGGATGACGTCGGAGCGATGCTCTGTGCAGACAGATGTCGTTCCAGCGTCATCAGACAAGCCGCATCATGTAGCTGTGGTGGGACAGGAAGGCAGATCTGTAGGGCGAGCACTGTGTATATGTCTGTATGTATCTACATATGTACATATGTACATGTGTGTGTGTGAATCCCTCTCGGTATCGCTGTGTGCATCCATCCATTCCTCCATTCCTTCCAGCTGCAGTAGCTACAGATACTGTCCGTCGTCAGGCCGATATCTGCACATGACCCATTCGCGCACACACAGACACACACACATGCAACACCTACTCTTCGATGTCTATCGCTCGCTCTCACCTCTGACCTTTCTGGTGCGATCAATTGGCTTTGAGTTTCTTGAGCAGGAGGTTGCTCATGTCGGTCATGTGCTTGAATGCCTGGGTCACCTCGTCCACCAGCTGCAGCATCTCCTCGCTGCCGCCCCAGGCCACCACCAGCGACTCCCCGTGCCCCTCCATGCCCCCCAGCACCGCCTCCTCCTCGGCCGACAGACCAGTGCTCGCCTCGAAGCCATGACGGCCACTGGTGGCGTGGAACATGCCACCACGAAGTCTGCAAGACATGCATGCATCAACAGATGTGCATACACCGGGCACCATGTCGATGAATACCCGCTTCTCCTCACCTGAGCAACATGTGCAGAGACGCCTCCCGGGGGATGTAGTAGTCTTTCAGCGTGCGGTCGTCCTCGAGCTGCTGGTTACCCCAGATCAGGCGCTGCTGGTCGGCAGGGTTGCCCTCAATGTGCTGCAGCTTGAGCTTGACGGCCCACACCGACTGGTCCGGCTCCACGTGCATGGTGATCGTCTTGCCTGCATGATACAAAGAACACACAGATCTCTCGCAATCAGTGCACACGTGGACATCAGAACGCCTTGGCCTCACCACGGAACGTCCAGACGAAGATCTGCATCGTTCCACGCTCCTCCGCCACCTGTTTCTCCACCTCGAACATCTTCTTGGCGGCTACCTGGGCCTCTTCCTTGAGCTCCTGCAGATGGCGCTTCTGCTCGTCCAGCGGCTTGGTGGCGAGTGCATTGAGGGCGTCGTAATGGTTGCACTTGCTACTGTGGCCGAAAACAGACTCCTCCGCCGCGTGAATGCCCTCCCACGCCTTGCACGGCTTGATGAAAGCGCTGGCCATGGTTGAAAGAGAGAAGCTCACTGGGTCCCTCAAAGGTCAGTGGGGTAGGGTCGAAAACCGTTTCCAGCGTTTGGCTGGTGGACAGAAACACTGAGTGGACTGTGCATGTCAGCCTCACGAGAACGGCACAAATATTACCGAGATCCAGCCAGGCCTGTACAGCTATACACACAGACTCATCCATCCCTCTCATGTCATGGTGATGAGTCCCTCTCAGCGTGCCCTGCCTGCACAGCCCTAACGATTTGTTCAGCAATCCTCTGCCCATCCACAGCAGCACTCACAATCCCGCCGGCATACCCCGCACCCTCCCCAGCGAGATACAGCCCACGCACATTGACTGACTCGAGTGTTAATGGGTTGCGGTCGATGCGCACCGGTGATGACGTCCGAGTCTCAACACCGTGCAGCAAGGCCTGCATCCATGGCATGATGTGTGTGTGTGGCGGGTGGGTGTGGGTCGGTGACTCACTTGGTCGGTGATGAAGCCGGGCAGCTGTCTGTCGAAGCTCTCCAGTGCAGCCCTCAGTCGGCCGGTGAGCGACTCGGGATACAGATCGTGCAGACTGCTCGCACGCACACCGCGCCTGCAGCACACACACACACATGTATGGAGGATTAGAGACACGGACACATGATTGATCGCCCGTCGTCACCTATAGGAGCTCTTTGGGAATGTGCCCTCGTCCACTGCTGACGGCCGCCCCTCCATGAAGTCGGTGACCCTCTGCACCGGTGCAACCAGGTCGCCGCCACCCCTCAGTGCCGCCTCCCTCTCCCATGCTCGCTGGAAAGCCACGCCGGCCAATGGGCCGTGAGACGAGAAAGGCGACAGCTCTTCTGGCCTGCAGGAGACACACACACACAGAGGTCTATGCGGGTGGCTGGCTAGCTGATCGTCATGGTGTGTACGTGACGGGCGTGACGAGGCCGCTGTTTGCCCATGGCGAGTTGCGCTGTGAGAATGACATGCCATTGACACACAGCTCAGAGGGGTCCATGCTCGTGGGAACCACCTGCACGCACCGCAGCAGCCGGAGTGTGTCATATGCCGACCCACCCACTCATCGACCCACTGACCTGTCCGCCCGGGCACATGCAGAAGGAGAAGACGTTGCCCGCCTTGACCGTGTAGTCAGCCACAGGCACCTTTCCCTTGCCCCTGTTGACCCATTTGGCATACTCCTTCAGCTGCACCGTGTCGATCAGCGTCTGTGGGTGCTCCACGCGCAGCCCCACTGCAAACTCCTTTGCAGACATGGCCACGCCCTGCTCGTGAAGCGACGCATACAGGTCCCTCGCTGAATGGCCGATGGCCAGCACCACAATGGGGGCGTCGATCTGGACAATGTCGTGGTCATGGCTGTGTGTGTGGTGACACTGAATGCCGGTGACGGCGTTGGTCGTGGGGTCGATGGTGAGCCTGTCGGCTGTGAGGCCGAAGTGGATGGTGACGCCGAGGTCCAACAGCCGCTGACGCAGGGATTTCAAGAGGCGGACCAGCCTGAAGCAATGAAGATGGAATGCAAAAAGGGCTGCCTTGTGTGGGTTATGCCTTCGTGCATACCTGTCCGTGCCGAGGTGTGGTTTGCCATCGACGAGGATGCGCTCAGGCGCGCCAAAGGACACAAAGGCCTCCAGCACACTCCGCACCTGGTGAAAGCAATTGAAGGACAACAGGTCTTATGTGTCGGGTAATGTTTGTGACATCGTTGTGAGTGTTCACCTGTTGCGAGTTGCGTCCGATCCTGGTGGTGAGTTTGCCGTCGCTCCAGGTGCCCGCCCCGCCCTCGCCAAAGCAGAAGTTGCTGTCGGCATCAAGCACACCACGATGAATCATCGCACCTGAAGACATCGAAGACGTGCACGCTGCACGAATGAGGGTGACTGAGGAGTGGCTGACCGACCGACCGATGTCTCTTCCCCTCCTCTCCACCGGCTGGCCCCTCTCAATGAGCGTCACGGGATGGCCGCTCTCGGCCAGGCGAAGAGCGGCAAACAGACCTGCATGCATTGCAAGCCACATACACACACACGTGCCATCACAACACAGGTCACTCTCAGAGCCATACCTGCCGGTCCAGACCCGACAACAGCCACAGGCGGCAGGCCCGCAGACAGGGGGCTGGCTGACGACGGGGGCAGCCTGTCGCCCACTTGAGGCGCCGGCTCGCACAGTCCTGGCCGACGTCTGACATTGACAGCGTCTTGCAGAGGCACCTCTATATCCACCACATAGCTGCACACAGGTACACACAGGTACACACACCCTTCCTTCTTCACTCCCAGCCTCAATTACTTGAAGTGCAGCAGTGGCGTGCCGTCCGCCTCCCTCGTCCGCCTCAACACTCGAGGCCTGGCGTCGAAGCTCTTGCGCACTATCTCCACCTTCACGTCTTCAGCACCGCCCTGGCCCAGGAAGAAGTCCTCTTGCAGGCCCGCCTGTGCGGCTACGGCACGCAGCAGGCCGTCCCACACCGCCGTGCTGTCTTTGCCCGGGTCGTCGGCCACGGGGATCTGCACGAAAGGCAGACACACAGACACGGGGTGTACGTGTGTGAGAGAGATGAATGAATGCATCGCCACGTGACACGTACCTGAATGTTGAAGAGCCGCCATCTCGTCACTCTCTGTCCTCCTGTTGGTGCAGTCCTTCTCCCTCTTGGCCTCCTTGCTCGCCCTCTCCGTTTTTTTGCCGTGTCGTGATCCACAACCACAGCCGGAAGGGACCGCGGGATGATCCGGGGGCTCCTGCATGGCCGGCGTGGCCTGTGCAGCAGCAGCGGGAGTGGCTGGAAGGCGTCGATGGTCTCAACGAGCAGCACAACTGCCAAGATGACGAGAAGCATTCGCCTTCGAGATCGGTTCACCTTCAGATCTTTCTGGCAGCAGATCTCACTGGCCAGCCGTCTGACGTGCTGAATGGTAGCAAACGGATGGTTGTGAAAGACGCGTCGGTGCTGAGCTCGCAAAAATCGATGGCTAGATCTGGGCAGGATGGAAGGCTTATAGCAGCTGCAATGATGTCATCAGCAACGTCTGTAATCTTCAAGCGCCGCCCTTCGTCCATCCCGGCATCTGGCTGTCGGCCCTTCGCAACATCAGCAGCAGCGGCGAATCTGCCGGCGCCGGGCTCATGGCGAGTGTTCCGCAAGCGCTTCGAAGGCCGGTGGCTGCGCATGAAGGCCCCCTACACCGTCAGCGGCCCGCCAGTGTGGAACCAGAACCAGCTGGGATACAAGAGAATGGCCCGCAAGTACCCCTACTTCAAGCAGAGAGCATTCAGCCCGCTCTACATCGTCACCGACTACAACCCTGCTAAGGGCGTCGTGAGCAACGATGAGCTGATTGTGTCGTATACGCTTGACAGTGGGCGTGAGTTTCACCGTGTCAAGGAGGCGATAGAGGGTGCTTTGCCGGGGGTGATGGTGACCGGCGAGGGGCGGGAGAGCCGCGGGGGCGGTGCGGGGGTGTTTGAGGTGAGGCGGCGAAGAGATGGGCAGGTGCTGTATGCCTCGCAGTCCATGAGTAAGTAGGCCGACAGACAGACGCGAACATTTGGCACATACGTGTTGTTGATAACACTATCTCTCTCTCTGTGCGTGTGTGTGTGTGTGTGCGTGTGTGCGTCAGCTGAGCTGGATCCTTCATCTGTGGTCAAGACCCTAGTGTCGCACTTCAGGCACACGCAGACAGCTACTGTGGCATGACGTGGCGCCTCTCTTCACACGACGTGCTGTACTTGTGACGATGTGGCATGTGGGTGGCGGACAGCAGACAGAGAGAGAGAGAGAGAGAGAGACAGGTGCCTGAGTGGTTTTTCTGTCCCTGAGGTGTTGTATATGTACGCGAATGGTGGACGGATGTCAACGAGTGGATAAAGGTCTTGTGACACACGCTCTAGCTGACTGATCGGCTGCTCCATTCCTCACACCCTCAACTCGACACATATCGTTACAATGCCCTATAGTAAGGTGGTTGAACGAACCCTCACCACTCACCCATCAATGAGTGTCACACCTGCGATGGCCCATCCTTGGCCTTCTCGTCTGGCAATGGCGGAGAGGGGTGGGCCGGCGGACTTTCATGAGGGTCATCGCGAGAGATGAGAGAAGAGGCCTGAATACCCAAAGAGGCAGGCAGGCAAGGTAAGAGACCTTCTTTCTTTCCATTTGCCGGCATGTATGTAACCTTTCTCGATGTTTGTCTCTGGTCGGTCCTCCGTCTGCCGCCAAACCCAGCTGCATAAGCTGTCGACGCGCGGGACACCTTTCTCGGGGAGAAACCCACTAACCACACGTACGCACATCGCTATAGTTGCCTGACTCATGCCCTTCTATTGCTCAATCTCTCTCTCTCTCTCCCTATGTGTGTGTGTGTGTGTGTGTGTGTGTGTACCAGTTGCCGGTCCGTGTGGCGACGGGGGTGCGGTACTTGAGGGCGTGGACCGCTCGAATGCCCCCCTCAGCCGCTGCTGCAGCCTCTGAATGCGGTCCTGCTGGTCGGCAGCGTACTGATCGACCTGCATGTAAGACGGAGGGATGGATAGGAGACATCGGTGAGAATGTGACTGACGTGTGATTTGACGTGGGGGTGTGTACCTCGACGTCAATGATGAAGTCGCCGACCACATAGAGACCCAGATAACTGAAGACAGTTGCCAGCAGGTGCCGCATCCACATATGTGTCTCTGTGTGAGTGCCTCACTCACCCGAGAAAGACAAGGAAGTAGAGCGCCGCGCAGACACCAATGGTGAAGTACTGGTCCTCAGCCAAGCTCTGGAACATCCTCGACGCCGTCCTCGGCCACAGCTTCCCGCGCCGCACCCCGCCGTCCTCTCTCTTCTGCACCAGCACATCCGCCAGCAGCATCGTCACCACCAGCACCACCAGGCCGTTCTCCAGCCAGTGCAACACATACGCGCCCCGCAGACATAGAGCCCCGCCACTGCAGTGAGGCAGGCGAAGGAGCCCCACAGGTAGCAGAGGATCTCGTAGAGGAGAGAAGAGGCGTCGAAGTTGGCCGCGAGTATGGTGAGGACGCCGTAGACCATGGGGAGGGAGAAGACGAGGGCAGCGACGGGGGGGCGCCACCACGGAGGGGCGAGGGGCGACTCTCTGGGGCGGCAGAAACACCCCATTGGTCATTCATGCCACGGAGAGCATGGACGGCTGACTGGATGGATGGATGGATGGAAGCCACACAAGGAAGGGAGCGATAAGGGTTCCGAATCGGGTTTGTGTGCTCAGAGTGCACTCGTCAAACGACGTCAGAAGAGCGTCCCGCTGGCGTCTCAGGAGAAGGCAGTCTCACAGTTGGGGGCCGCCCCCACACCGGCTGTTCGGACTCTCAGGCTAACTCCGAGTCGGCAAGCAATTCCTCCTAGTTGAATATGACATCAGCCCCTCAGCCCGACGGGCCTTAGCCCGTGCAGCAGTTCGGGAAAGAGCAGAAAGTGCACCCCAAGCAGGCAGTGGCAGTGGCTGAGCCACTTGGACTTGCGCGTCAGACTTGCGCCAAAGGACACGATTTCGAAAAGAAGATCGATCGGTTTGAATTCTGCCTGTGTTGCTGGCTCTGTTGTAAGGCCCCACCCACGCGCACAACACAGATTCTGAAGTTTAAGGTTGTGGATGCGCGTCACTGCATCATATCATACACAGGTTATCTCCCCAAGTATTTCCCCGGTGAATGGCGTTGCAAAAACTGCGGGCGATTCTGGTCATTCGAGCTAGAGGCTGCAGAGCAGGTACAGCAGCAAGAACAGCCCCAGCAGCAGGACATGCACCAAGTGCCTCACTGGATGCCCCCTGGCGCGTCTCCCTGTGCTGACGGCCACGACTTCAAAAAGGAGACGCCCGACTTGTGTTGCTACTGCCTATGAAAGAGCCTAGATCTCCTATGTATTTACCTTGCTTTTGGTGGACTTGAAACACCGGGTACGCAGCGAAGCCCCACAAACAGAAGCTGAAGGTTCTAAGGACGCATTTCTGGATGTCTAGAAACAAACGTATGTGTCTCTGCAGGTACCTGGGTGTGCAAGAAGTGCGAGATGATAGTAACTGACACCGAGCCATCAAGCAACAGTCAGTAGTATCAGATTGGCCTGTAGCCTGTCGCTTGTCGGCCTGCCTAAGAGGGCTGGCTGTTAGTCATATATCCGCGTGGATGCACGCTGCCCATGCCGGTAGACTCTCTCTGTCTCTGTACAGTACGTGTCTGTCTATTTTTCGTTACTGATGTATACTTATTCGCATCGAGGAGGCGACGACACGATATCTCTATATATGCCTTGCCTGGCGTCGATTGGACTGCACTTCATGTCCGTCTCTTGCTTCAAAGCAAGCAACAAGCCCAGATGCAATTAGTGCACATCTTTCGTGCCGTCTCGAGTCTCTTTTGGTTGTCGGTGTGTGCGCGGTGCTCGGCCTGCCGACACACGTGGTCTGTTTGTGTATTCGTGACTGTACAGACACATTTTTGATGTGCGTATGTACAGACACCGATTCTGTGTGAATGGTGCCTTTCCATTCCGTTTGCCTTCGTTGAACCATCCTCGCAAAGACGTGACGACAGGTGTTCGGGCAGCTGCAGGCATGCAATAGCGTCATGTCACGCAATAGCATCACACGATCGCCAGCTCGCTCCCTTCTCCGTTCACTGTCGGCCCCGTTTAGTCATCCCCACTTCCCGCTGAAACACACACTGAACACGCATGCCTGTGCGCTGCATCACATCATTTAGGCTTGCATTCGGTTCAACTCCCTCCCCAGAAAGTCCAACACCGGGGTCTTCCGCTCCAAATTCAGTGCTTGTTTCAGCTCTCTGCTGATCCTGTCCTTCCGGCTGCTGCGCGAGAAGACGCTGAAGGCACACAAACACGCACATGCACTGATCAACTTTCCTGGTACGCATCTTCACACCTGTCAATCTCCTCGCGACCGCTTGGAAGGCTTGCCGACTTGTGCGCTTGGCTTCAGCCGAGGGGTGCTTCGCCATCTGTCTGCTGGCGGGGGCACAGGCAGCAGGACTCTCAACAGACGGCTGAAGGGAGACATACAACAGTTCAATCATAATGATCGATTGCTAATCGTCGATATCGTCGATAAGCGCACGTTTGGTTGCCGCCTGCTTTCTTGGTTGAATGGTAGCGAGGCTGGTCTCGTGACTGGCTGGCACCTCCCCAATGAAGAAACACACAGATGCACATCTCTCTATTTGTCCCGCATAGCTGGCCAGTAAGACACACGTGTTACCTCGCAGTCGACTGGCGTTGGCCGCTGCCTGAGAAGGTATCCGATTCGCTGGCACAGAGCACACAGACGGAGAAGGCTGCCTACCATCTTTTCGGACTTGTGCCTGCCCGGGTCTGCTCTCAGCCGCCTCAGATGCGCTCTTACCATTTCCAGCCACCTTTGCCTTAGGTGGCGCAGGAGCCACCTGCGGAGCCGAGGAGGTCTTGGCCGACTCCTTCGAGATCGCCTTGGTCGCCTTGGTCGCCTGTCTACTGATGGCTTTCTCGGCAGGGGCATGAGAGCTCTCACCCCCAACCGGCGACTGAAGAAGAGACACACAGATACGGCACAGAGGAGAGACGTATGTATGTGTGCGCGTCTGTATGCACTAATCCACACCTTTGTCAAAGCCTCCCTCGTCCCCTGCCTGATGCCAGGTGTGCGACCACAAACTAATGGAAGAGACACATACCCACCCATTCATCGCATAGTGAACCACTCCCATGTGCATACGGCGTGTCGGCTTTGCTGCAGTCGTTTTGCCATGCGACAAATCAAAGCGACGCAGCTGCATCACATGGACAGACAGAGGGAAAGAGACCTGTGTCACGTGTTCTAGCCAGAATTTATCCAAATTCACACATGCGCCCCGATGGCAGTGTCAGGCACCTGCTGCGGTCGTGTGGGTGCTGGCCGGTTCGTCTTGAGAACCGGAATCCTTTCTCTCTTCTGAGCACCGCTGCGACTGGCGTTCTTGTCATCTATCACCTCTGCCTTTCCCTCTCTCTTGCGGCGTCCGTCGTGGGGCGGCAGAAGGTTGGCCTTGATCTTACGTTCGAGCGAATCCTGATCGATACACATAGAAAGACAGACGGGATTGCACGGTAACTTTGCGAGAAGACCTCGTTCCAAGCCATTGGTCTCACCACTTTGGCAATGAGCTCACTCTGCACACATTCACACATGACTTGGAAATTGGCGGCTTGCGGTGCTCTCATGGTGAAGCACTGTACCCTTTCGCTGATCCACTTCATTTTCTCTTGCCTCAGCCGCAGGTTCTCCTCCAAGGCTTCTTGTATACTGTCGTCGGACAGCGCTTCCGTCGAGTTGGCGCGAGTTGATACGCAGCCCGTCTCGGCGTCGGCCACAGTCGGCTCGTTCTCCTTCTTGGCTGGCAGGGGAGTGGCAAGAAATGGGTGATCCAGAGCGTCTGCAGCTGCAGAGACATACGTGCACAAAAAAGTGTAGATCACCGTCGGTGATCTGAGGGAGGATACCTGTAGGCATGCGATAACGGGGGTCATATGCGAGCATCCTTGAGGCCAAATCAGCTTCCTCCTTCATATACGCGCTCTCGCTATCGGAGAACAAAGTCTCCTGACAGATTAGCACAGCCAAAACCAGGGAGTGAGACATGTACTCGTTTACATCTTCTATCGAATCACCTCACCCGCTGCAAAGCTGCCTTCGACTGTGCAAATGTCTGTCTCACAGACACGTCGAAGGGCATCTCTTGGCACAGAATGTGGTAAAACACGACCCCCGCTGCCCACACGTCCGTCTGTGGAGTGTACTGGCCAGCGTAGCACTCAGGGGCCTGCTCATATAACACACACGCCCACACACACAGCAGTTTTGATGAGAGAGAAACAAAGAGGTGATCGGCTCACCATGAATGCCCTTGTGCCGATAATCTTTGGCTTTCCGTCGACTTTGGGCAGGGGCCTGTCGAGAAACATGCAGACGTCGAAGTCGATCATCTTGAGACGCATGGCGTCCTTGCCAGCGAAGACAAAGTTGGAGAGCTTCACATCTCGATGCACAATCTATAAGATGACATCCACAGACATGTACATGTGCCCCCAAGTATGTATGTGTCTGTCCTTTCGGCCGCCTACGTTGTGCGTGTGCAGATTTTGAACTGCTGACAGGACTTGCTTCATGACCTCCCTGATCCTCTCATTGCTGAGCACCTCTGTATGGCCCATGCGTTTCTGCCAGTCCTGCAAGGTAGGGCCCTGCAAACACTCAAAGACACGACATCCATCCACAAGAGCATGCGGCTCGTGTTTCGTGTGCTGACGTGTCCATACCCTCAGCTTCTCCATGACAATATAGATGTGTTCGTCGTCCTCGAGCAGCGCTTCTATGTCGACGAGATTGGGGGACCTGTTCGAGGCTAGCGCCTCGTAAACGTCTCGCAGGTGGCTCTCCTTTGTGAAGCCGAGAGCTCTGCGCTCGGGAGAGAAAGACAGAGAGGGACAGAGAAGCGCGTTGCGCACACGACGGGGGCAGAACCTGTGCAGCTTCGTTACTCACCCGATGCTCTCCTTGTCAATCTTCTTGATAATCATCTCCTCGCCCGTCTTGCGGCAGGTGGCCCTGAGAACCACTGCCGACCTGCAGCTCACAATGTCAGTTCACATTCCCTGCGAATCCACACCACGCATCTCGTGTTTCTGGTGTTGCTCACCGGGAGCTCTTCGCCACCTCGCCCCCGACAGTGTAGTACTCTTCTATGTTCTTCACGTGCTTGAAGGCCGCCATTTCTTCTCTTTGATGTTCCTGGTGGTCCCGTCGAGAAACGGGGCCGTGAGACGCGTGCTTTCGAAAAAGGGTTTTCTCCTTCAGTGCCAACCGCCCACACGGCATCCCGTCCTCTACCTTCTTCTCCACGTGACAATGAGCCACCAGACTATCATTGTCACGAGAGTGCGGCGTTCAAGCACGTGAAGGACATCACCGAGTTCCCGGTGAGCAGCACCGGAAACACGATATGCGTGGTTCGGTTTATGCGATGGATGAAATGCAGGTCGGCAGTGGTGCTCGAGGGCCACTTGCCTGAAGACGGGCGAGGACAGCAGGAAGGTGCAGCGGTAGGCAAGAAGGACAGAGACACGGCGGGCGGCCCAGCAGCGACCCGACACCACCAACGTCACCACTTTCGGGTCAGGGAGGATGGGTAGCCAGGGGCAGGACTGCACACACGGCAGGGGAGGCGTGTTGAAAAAGGCCGGCAGCGGCCCGGCCCGGGGTGGTGGTGGTCGTGAGTTGAGTCAGAATGTCTGTGGGGTGCGCATCGCGGGCGACGCCGACAAGGACGTACACCAGCAGGTCAGTCAGTAGTGAGTGAGTGGGAGAGCACCGCACCTGAAGACCTCTCACCCACCCCACCCAACATTGACCCGTGTGTGCCATGGCATGGTGTCGTGTCATTCATGGATGTGATTGATGCAGAGTGGGCGTGTGGGTGGGGCCAGTGAGCCATTCGAGCAAGCAACAAGCGGTCGAAGGCGTGCGTCTCAACCGAGGTGCACTGCTGAGAATGCGCGGATGGACACTCTCTCACAGGTCAGTTAGTCAGTCAGTTTTCCAGCAAGCAGCAACTGTCCCATCCACCCCACCCCCACACACGAGACAGACCAGCGGCCACTGATTGATTCCTGTCAGACTGTGGCTGCATGTCTGTGGCATCGGTTGGTTGTGTGTTATCCATGCCATGCAGGTGGCGGCAGGTCTTGGGACTCTTGGCCCAGTGGAGGACGTCGCGCCCCTCTCAGCCCCCTCTTGCCTCTCTCGCCCAAGTGCCCCCAGTCGCCCTGGCCCACTGGTGGCGTCCAAGGCCGACGGCAGCAAGATCAAGACCCAGACACAGCACAACAACGGCACGGCACGCGCCGCCAAGAGCACCACCAGCCAGCACACTCCATCCACAGCCACAGGGCCATCCATCAAGCGCAGCACAGCCAGGTCCGCCGCCTCTCGTGGCAACCGTGTGGGCGTGCTGCCGGCTTTGGAGGCGAGCAACACAATAGCGAACAACCTCGACCTCACATCTCCCAAGGACCGGTGAGTGAGGAGGAAAAAGCAGAGACCGCGGCCTCTCATCTTCCCGCACTTTCTTTCTCTGTTCGTTCTTACTGGCCAGTAGGGTTTCGACGGCTCAGAAGTCCGCCGGTCGTCTCGGTCAGATCGCCGGCAGCAGCCGCCCCGCCCAACCCAAGACTTCCCTGCTGCACGTGCAGCGCCTCGGCTGGTCTCCTGGCGGGAGGAGTGTGGCGATGCCGGCAAAGGGGCCAAAAAGGGCGGCAAAGGCCAACCTGAGCGACACACTCATGGCCTCGAAGGACAAGAGCTGCAGAAGGCCAACCTTTTCTGTGTGTCTCCTTCAGGCCAATCTGCGGGGAGACATGACATCGGTTGAGGGTATCGGCGGCGGCCCTGCCGTCACAGAGGGGGAGGACGGTCCAGCCGAGCCCACGACCCTGTGTCGACCGCTGCCTACATTTTATATCTTGTGCTTTCTTTCTCTCTTCCCGAACGTTGTAAGTCTCAATCTGCACGGATTAATCAGTTCACGGCTGCCCATGTAGGAGCACGCCGAGATGCGTGGCCTGGATGACCAGGAGGTGTGTGTGTGTGTAAAGGTCAGAGAGACATGGCTGGCAGAGACACCAGGAACAAGGAGGCGGAGGGAGGGAGGCGAGAAAACTTTGTGTTTGTACGTCAGCGCACGGTGCCCAAGGTCCTGATACACACAAGTGAAAGACGCTGACAGCGAAAGCAGCGGATGAGACGCAGATCAATATTGTGATGACGCCCTTTTGTCTATCTCTTTCATCAGCTGAGCCTCATCGGTTCACGGAGGACAGAACTGCTTGCCCAACGTCTTTCTCCATTTCAGATCTGGTGTGCAGACAACTCTCTCTCTCCCTCTTGCGTGCACATACACAGCGACATTCAAAACACACTAGGGATGCGGGATGACGCAGTGAACATTCAATCACAAGGCATGAGCGTCACAGATCCATCGCCCCCTCCAGGCTTAGCAAAGTGAGAGACACATACGAGAAAGAAAGAGGTCCCTCCCCCAGAACTTGTCCGTTGTGTCAACTAGCTAGCTGGCGAGTAGGCTCTTTCCAGCCTCTCCATACACCACACAAGGCATGCAGCCACCCATCGACCCACCCACCAGTCACCATAGACCCACAGCGACGAATTGCTTTGCTACAGTCACCAAAGGACAACAGGTCCCCTCCCCCTCCCGACACAAGGGACGCGCTACATGCCTGACTTGCGCTTGCTTGACTTATGTGACCCTCCCGTCCTCTCCCTCTTGACCCGGCTGCCGCCGTGCGACGAACGAGACGGCCGCTCAGATACTGCACACAACACAACACAACACAAACGCCCATCAACCGTATGATCATGACGAGCGACTTTCCGCCATCTGCCTGTCTGTGTGCGTACCGTTGGTGTATCCCGTGGTCTCCGCCTCGGCGTGTGAGGGCATCCCTGGCGGCGCCGGGGTGCCCGCTCCTGACCGGCCGCCCGCCTTGCCCTGCTTCTTGATGCAGTCGGGGCAGAACCACTCCTCGGGCAGAGGCACGTCGGGGGACAGGTTCTGACGTGAGAGAGAGTCAACACACACAGCCAAGAGTCATGTGTGGTCTACCTACCCACCCTTCGAGCCGCCCCCTGTCTCACTCACCACGCAGACATCGTGGAACCACCTGCCGCATGGCCCGTCGCAGCCGACCATGTTTTGGCTGCTGGTGTGGGACACCTGCCCGCATACCGGACACACGTCAGCAGCCGTCTCCTGCTGCGCCACCCCGCCCTCCACGGGCAGCCCCTCCTCGCCAGGTGCCAGCGGCACCTCCGTCTTGACCTGCACCTGAGCCGCCGCAGCAGTAGCCGCCTGAGCCCTGCCCTTGCGCGACTGCTGGGAGTTGGTGTTGAGGGGCTTATCGTCGTCATCGAGGAGAGGAGGGAAGGGGCTGCCCGGCGGGGGCTCGATGCCTGGCGGAGGGGGCGCCAGGAACGACGACGCACCTGAAGCGAGATCCGGTCAGATAGGTATATGCAGTGAGTGTTTAGGTGAGTGAGAGCATGGAGATATGCTGTGTCGTGTTGGTACCGGCAGCACTGGCGGCGCCCACGCCCGCCAGCTGCTTGGATCTCTTGCTTGGTCTCGGCTTGGCGCGTTTGTGTGCCGGCCCGTCCACATCGCCCGCCACGCTGCTCCCGCCGCCACCCACACTGCCACCCGCCGCACCAGCCACCAGGGATGCAACCTGACCGAACCATCGACCACACGGACAGATGTGTGAGGGTCTGCACAAAGATCGTGTTCCTGTGTGCCGTGTTGGTCAGGTACTGACCTCGTCTCTCTCCCTCTTGACTCCCTCCAGCGGCAGCATGCCCTCCTCTGGAGGTGCCTGCCGCCACTGCCCCAGCTCACGGTTGATGTTCTTCAACTTGTTTTGGTAGAAGTGCAGCAGACTCGCCATCTTCTCGACCACGCGCAGCTTCTCCTCCTGGTGCGCCCGCTTGGTCATCTGCAACTCAGCGATGCGGCTGAGATCTTCTTGCCGAAACGCTTGCCCCGTCTGATCCAAGTCACGCTTGGCGCGGCTCTTGTCGTCCTTTGTGTAGTCGCGGAGGGCGCTGAGGTACTCGTTCTGGGCCGTTTCCAGCTGGTTGTTGACGATGTTGGCCTTGCGGTCAAGGTCTCTCACAAGCGCCAGGTTGCGCGTGATCCAGCCTGACACACAGCAAGAAGTGAATCCACAGCACATGTGTGTGTGTGTGTGGGATGGGTCGTCTGGACTGGCACGTGCAGGCACACCCTCACCTGGCAGCGGCGCCAGCTCCTCGATGAAGTTCTCATAGAGGTCTTGGGCTTCGTTCTGCGTTGCCGGCGACGAATACATCGCTGCAAACTGATGAAACGCTTTAGATATGCAGCGGGGGAAGCGTTGGAAAGGAGAAGCTCTCTGCAAGCCAAGCTCGCAGCTTGTCGCGAAAAAAACAGGAAAGAGTCCATGGTGATTTGGTGCACTTGTTGCCCCGGTTGCCAGTGTTGCCCTTTCTCGCCTCATGCAGCAAGCGTCACGAATCGAGTGCGCGATGGTCAGTCGTGTTTGAATGACGAGAGAGGCTCACGCAAAGCAGAGAGGCTACTCAAGTACAGTACTCGCATCATGATTGTTCTGTCATCATTCTCCCTTGGCGAAGTCGGGCGGCCTGCTGCATGAACTGAATGAAACAAGTCAGTCAATAAACTGAGAGATGGATGGATGGTTCCAATCTCGTTCTTCCAGTCATGCGTGTATGCATATGGACCTCAATGGTCACCCCATATTACGTATAGGAGAAATGCACCAACCCGCCCACGTCACAGAACCGTACAACCCGCCCACCCACCCGCCCGCCCACACAAACAACCATCAAGTCAGTCAGCAGGGCTGCGGTGCGACCTCCAGCAGCGGCACACGCCAAGGAGGACGCACGTCAATGCGTCCTGGGGCCTTGGTGGTGCCTCTGGGTGTGTCCTTGCCCTCCTGAGAGGCTGCGTGTGCGGGTGCTGGCGCCAGCGTTCTCTGAGACCTTGTGGCAGCTCGTGTGTCCGGCTGAGGGGCGTCAGGGTCGTCATTGGACCTGTCGCCGAGGATACCCAGCGGTACGATGTCCTCTGGGACTTCAGCCTCCAGCAGCCTGCATTCATGTCATTGACACAACACGCCAGCCACAGCACAGCCATTGAGGGAGGAGGAAGGGACAGTCACCACGGTGTTGTGATGCCTGTCTGTGTCTGTGCGTTCTGCGTATGTGCCTGTGAGCCTCTCTGTCCTCTCTCCGTGCTTACTGGGTATTCCACTCGCCAACGGCCCAAACCATCCACTCTCGGTGGTGGGCGGCTGACCGGTCGGCGTACTCCTTGGCCTTTCTCTTGAAGTCCGCCTTGTGGTCCTCGTGCACTCGGTTGGTGTCGCCGTCTAGCCAGCCCGCCATCTCCTTTATCTCGTCGTCGCTCAGGCGCTGAATGCTACACACGTACTTTAGCTCCCTCCACCGGTTCAGCCGCGCGAGGGCTGCACGGACACGGAGGTACTCGTCGTCCGGGTTGTACTCTCTCTCATTGATAAAGAAAGGCCGCGGTTCTGCGCTACACCAATGGCCCATTTCGCCTGTTCCCGTGTGGAGTCTAAGCTCGCAGCTTGGACGGATCGCCTCCTAGTGAGAGAGGCAAAACAGGGGAAGAATGAGCTCATCTGCTGTAGATGCTGGTGCTGCAAATGTGGGTGCAGCTAAACCGGCGCCTCGCAGCTGCTGGCAACGCTTCCTCAAAGGGCGGGAACTGCATGTGAGCGGCGTCCGGGACACCAAGAGCCTTACCGAGGTGAGCAGGGGAGGGGCTCACAACACACACACCGCTGCATGAAGCACGATCATTCATCTGCGTGTCTGTTTTCTGCTGCTGCAGGATTTGGCCTCGTTCCTCCGGTCCCATGGGGTGACATCTGTGGTGATGAACGACAGCGGCTTGGCCCCTCTGACATTCATTCTGCGTCAGCTTGCCGGGTGTGAGGGCTGTGTTGAGAAGCTGAGCATCGACTGCTGGGGCGTGGCGTGGACCCCCACCCTGCAGGTGGCCTTCAAGGAGGCCTGTGACAGCAACCCGCACCTGACCACACTCACTGTGCGGCTGCGGCTCAAAGGCCTGGAGATGGTGGAGATGCTCATGTGTGTGCCGGAAAAGGTCGAGGTGCTCGATATTGGCGACAACATGTGAGGGGCCAAAAGGCGGCGCCACACAGCATGGTGGTCGAGGGTTCGTGGATTTCTGTGTGCGTGTGAGTGGTTGCAGGATGGACAAGTCGGTGATCCCCTTGCTGGTGGGGATGATAGGCCGGTGCCACCTGCAGACCCTGCTGATGGACAAGTGCGGCGTGGGCAACAACATCGACTGGCTCAATACGTTCTACCAGCAGCTTATCGAACTGCCACACATCGCTCTGGAGTGCCTAGAAGGTGCGTCTGTGCGTCCATGCCATTAAGGAGAGGGTGGACCTTCTCTCGTGTCCTACGTGTGTGTGTGTGTGTGTGTGTGTGTGTGTAGGTCTGGATCTCTCTCTTGTGGCTGACCTTCCGATACCCGTCCGCAAGGCGCTCAAGAACCCCTCACGCGACAAAGGTGAGATGGCAGACGGCAAATGGATGCCGTCGTCATATTGCCTTTTCCTCCATCCATTGCTTGGTGCAGTTCGGCTGCCTGGTGCGGGTCGGACTGACCGTTCTCGTGCCATGTCGATGTGGCCCAACGGCCCCTTCATCGACTACATCCGCAACAGGGCCTTCTCTGACATCGTCAAAGGTAGGGCACCCTGCACCATCCATCCACCCACACCCACTCATGCCGCTGATGCTGGTCTCGTGTATTTGTGTGGCGCTCAGGCCAGTCTGCACGCGTGTGGTGGCCGCCGACTGAAGATGAAGTGAGATGACAACACGCCACGATAAATCCATCCACCCACACACGGAGCCGCTGCATTTGTCTTTCTCCTGTCGGCCCTCTTGCGTGTGTCCGTGTAGGCCAAGACTGATTTTTCTGGTCGCTACTGGCCGGCCAAGGTGCTGCGATGCAACCCGGTGGACCTAGTCTTCACTGTGCAGGTCAGTCAGAACCATGACACATCAAACAACACAGCCACCGCCACACATACAAGTGCAGCTCTCTCTCTCTCTGTGTGTGTATGTGTGTTGTCATGATGTGCGCAGTATGACAACAGTGAGGTCGAGAACGTGACGGCCCGGGACATCCAGCCGCCCAGCCCCTACCACTACGGCTGCCACACGCCACCGGCGTCACGCATCCCCTTCCCATACGCCTCAGCCGAGCCAACACCCACACCCACGCCAGGCCCACGTCGCCCTAGCCCCGCCCCCGCCCCCAGCACCCCACGCGACGGGCAGTCGTGCTCGGCCGTATGTGGTGCGAAGGCAGAGGCCATACCCATGACGGATGGCGAGAAATCGGCGGCGGCAGATGACGTTGAGATGACCCCTGCCGATGCGGGCCCTGCCAACAAGAGAAAGGGCAATGAGGAGCTGCCCCCCCCAAAGGCGGCCAAGAAGCTGGCGAGGGAGGGGAGTGACTGCCCTGGGGCAGACGCGGAGAAGAGCCCCTCAGCAGCGGCCCCAGGCCCCAGTGAGACCGACACGGCCACACAAGACAGAGACACGCCCACTGCCGGCAAGGGCAGCCGCAGGATCAAGAGAAAGGCTCAGGGGAAATCCAAAAAGGGCAAACGAGACTCCCAGGCAGCCGACGGAACACCTGTGAGCGCGAGTGTGAGCCCTTCCGCTGCAGCTGCCGCCGGTGGTTGTGGTGGTGGTGGCTCTCCTGCTGCTGGTGCTGTTGCTAGGGGTGACATCTATGTGACTGACCGGGAGATCTATGGCGATGGCGGTGCTGTGGATGCGGTGGCGGTGCCGGCTGAGCTGGAGGGGTGCGTGCTGGCTATTGGGGAGTTCTGCGAGTTCAGAGACCCCGAGGAGTCCAGCGACCCTTCGGACTACTTCGGTGAGTAAACCACCAATGGGGAGCTGACCGTGTTAGTGCGCTCCGTGTGTATCTGTGTGTGTGCACAGGATATGTGGTGGGTATTCAGCGTCACGAGCCCATGTACACCGTCCGCTATGTCTACTACGACGACCATGACGTGACCAATCCATCGCACCTCATTCACCGTATGCGTATGACATTTATGATGTGATGGATGACGCTCCCAGGTGGTCCCCGTCTCGTCGAAGGACATCCGCAGAGCCGCCATCATCCCTTATGTGCAGTGGCGGGACGCTCACCTCGACATAGTCTTCGCAAAGAAGCGCGGCGACCACCTCCTCGACAATGAGGCCTCATCGTCGCCAGCTGCTGCGGCTGCTGCGGCGGCGCGCCAGTCGACGAATGATCCAGCACCAGAGATGCCAATGTTCCTTCTGCGGCCTGTGGCCCGGCGTGTGTGCCGCGAGAGCTCTGCGCGCTACGTGCCGCCCAGTGTGCTGGACTTCAAGCACCTCTCGGCCGAGTGAGGGAGGGACGGGGAGGGAGAAGGGAGAAGGGGCGGCGGGGGAAATGCTCTCTGTGTAACGATGCCATCCATATTGAGGTGTCTGTCTGTCTGTGTGGGTATCAATCAGGGTGTTTGGTCAGTGGCTGTATCGGCAGAGTCTCCACGAGCATCCGAGGCTCACCGACACCGCACGTAGGACAGACAGAGCGGACGAACGGCAAAAACTTCTCTCTCTCTTTTCTGTCTGTCCCTCAAACAGACAGGGCCCGTCTGCATCAGAAGAGCAAAGATGAGCTGGTGGACGAGGTCGAGCGCCTGCAGAGCCAAGTCGCCATTCTCTCACAGAAGGTACCTACCTGACCTGGCTGGCTGATGACAGATACCACACACCACACACCACACACACCACACACACCACACACACTCAGCAAACAAACAGGGGAGGGAGGAGAGTGCCGTGTCCGTCTCTCTGGGTGCTTGGCTTGTGTGGTGTGCTACAAGAACCACAAGCGCGTGGCGACAGACACGGAGGTGTCGAAGCTGCGTCGGCAAGTGGAGGAGTACCACAGCCAGATACAGACACTGCAGTCGGACCTCCGCTGCATGATCTGCTGCGAACGGCGCTTCCACTGCGTCCTCAAGCCCTGCTTGCACTTCCAGTTCTGCTCGCAGTAAGTACGCAGCCAGGGGACAGCCACAGCCACTTCACATGCACCATGGGGGCAGAGAGTGTGTCTCTGTGTGTTTGTGTGGATGCGTCAATCAGGTGTGCGCAGCAGACCAAGAAGTGTCCGTTGTGTCGCGGGACCATCACGGGGGTCATCACGCTGAAGCTGCCCGACGAGGACGCCTGTGACAAGTCCCCAGATGCAGCTGCAGCAGGGGAGGGCAGGGGACATCATCATGACGACTGAGAGAGTTGCTGAGAGACTGATGGATCGATGGATGGTATCTGACGGTTGAAAGCCTTGTTCACTCAATGCGCATTATCACACACATACACGGAGAGTCTCTCCCCGGTGCTCTCACTCTCTCTCTCTTTCGAGGCGTCATAATGCTAGTGTGGCATTTCCTGCCTGCCTGTTGCTCCGGCCGTCGCTGAAGAGGCTGCATTTGGCTTCCCACCGCATCGCCGATGAGCCGTCAAACACAGCCGCACCAGCGCACGTCAGAGCAACACGCAGACCAAAGACCCCTTCCGCGAACACACGTACTGTCTGTCTGCAAGGCACCTGGCCTGGCAAACAAGTATATGTGTAGACAGCTATGCAACGCCACCATTGTCTGTCGCGCGGTGGGTGTGCTTCCTCCTCCCTCTCGAACGTATCCTCTTCTCAAGTGTCTGCTCGTGAAGAAGACACGTTCGAGTGGGAGGACCCAGCCCACACCAACGAACGGGTCGCGAGAAAAAGTGTCACATGAGGCCAACAAAACTTGCACAAATAGCATCCACACACAGCTCTCTCTTGTCTCCAGCACTAGCAGCTGGCTCACTGACCCACAACAGCACACCACAAGCCAAGCGACACTCACACAGCCACCAGCTCGCCCTGTTTCGCTCTCTCCAGCCATGAGGGCTTGACGTCGGCCGCCGCCAGCTCAGCCCGCATCTTGTCGATGGTCTCCTTGTAGTCGGGAGTGCCGAATATGGCCGACCCCGCCACAAACATGTCTGCCCCCGACTGCGCCACCTCCCGGATGTTGGCAGGACCCACACCGCCATCGATCTCCAGCCGGATGGACCGCCCGCTCTTGTCGATGATCTCCCTGGCCTCTCTCAGCTTGTCGAGCGTGTAGCCAATGAACTTCTGTCCACCGAAACCGGGGTTGACCGACATGAGCAGCACGATGTCCACCTTGTCGATGGCGTACTTGAGCCAGTCGAGGGGCGTCGCGGGGTTGAACACCAAACCGGCCTTCAGCCCCGCATCCTTGATGACGCTGAGGGTGCGGTCGGGATGGTGGCTGGCCTCTGGGTGAAAGGTGATGTACGACGCCCCCGCCTTGATGAAGTCGCCCACAAGCTGGTCCACAGGCGTCACCATCAGGTGCACGTCGATAGGCGCCGTGACGCCGTGCTTGCGCAGCGCGTCGCACACCAGCGGGCCGATCGTCAGGTTGGGCACATAGTGGTTGTCCATCACGTCGAAGTGCACCGTGTCGGCCCCGGACACAAGCACGTTGTCCACCTCCTCTCCGAGCTTGGCGAAGTTGGCAGACAGGATCGATGGCGCGATAGTGAAGCCGTCTGTGTGGGGGTAGCCGTCGTCCACCGCCATCCGCAGCTGCGTGTGGTGGGTGCGGCCGCGTCGAAGGCGGTTTGTCTGCGCCATGCTGCTGGCGGGGCTGCATCGCGTGGGTGCGGTGACGAAGCCTTCGCTCGCCTCGAGGGACGGCACGACGACCAAGAGAGAAAGGGTGTCGTCATCGGCAGCGGCGATGGCTGCGAGCAGAGCAAGGGAGATGGCGAAGGCCCGAATCATTGCGGTGCGCGCTGAAAATCAAAGTGCTGCCTGCTGACGTCCCGAGTGCTTGGGAAGGACAGCAGCCTCGGAAAGCAACCAGATCTGATGCGGGCTGAAAGATCTGCCTTCAGTTGCGAGCTTGGCTTCGAGGGAGGGCGGCTGCAGAACAGAGAATGGCTACCACACCCAGCACTGCACCACCAGTGCGGTCATCCACTGCGCCGCGAGAGCGCCTGGCCCGCATTTCATCGCACGTTGATGGCAAAGCAGCGTCTTCTTCATCGGATTCCGCCAACCGGAGTAGCAGCGGTAGCAGTAGCAGCAGCACTGGCTCTTCCCTCGCCGGGCGGCGCGCCCTGCAGCATCTCAAGTGGAATGGCTGGGGCTTCAAGGACACCCGGCTGCGGCTGAATGCAGCCTCAGGGCTGATAGAGCTGACTGGCAACCGGTACCTCTTCTCGGGCCACGTGCTGCCGGACATCCGTAAGTTCGGCGAGGAGGACGGGGGCATGACCTTCGACAGGAGGCTCAACACCGACACGCCAGTGCAGGTGCCCCAGCCCACCGTCAACAAGCCGTTTGTGGCGGCGATTCGCGAGCAGCTGCCCGCCCTGGCCGTGGACCATGGGAGTAATGATAATGAGAGGAGAAGCAGTGATGCCGAGGACGCAGCGGTAGCTGAGGCAGAGTCGCCACCCCCGCGGCTGTCATTCGACATCGATGAGCGTCTGTTCCACAGCCATGGCCATACCCTGCAGGAGCTGTGGGTGCTCAAGACGTCCTCCGGCCCTCTACAGCGCACTGTCGACGCCGTCCTGTACCCCTCCTGCCATGCAGACGTCGAGAAGGCCGTCGCGGCCGCCACCGCCCACAACGTGGCCCTCATCCCATTCGGCGGGGGCACCAGCGTGACGTGCGCCCTCCTCCCGCCCGCAGAGGAGAGCCGCATGGTTGTGTCGGTGGACCTGACGACGATGGCACGTGTGCTGTGGGTGGACAGGGAGAACGGCGTGGTGTGTGTGGAGGCGGGGGCGAGGGGCGCGGCGCTAGAGGAGGAGCTGGGTCGGTATGGCCTGACCCTGGGCCACGAGCCGGACAGCTGGGAGTTCAGCACGGTGGGCGGCTGGGTGGCCACCCGCTGCTCGGGAATGAAGAAGAACACCTACGGCAACATCGAGGACCTCCTCGTCGATGTCACATGTGTCACGCCCACCGGCACTTTCACCCTGCGCAACCCTCCCCCCTCCCCTCCACCCACCGACACACCGGCACCGGCCGCCCCCCTCACAGGCCAGTGGCCGCGCATTTCCTCTGGCCCTGACTGGCGTGAGGTCATCCTAGGGTCGGAGGGGACGCTCGGGGTCGTCACGCAGGCCGTGCTGCGAGTGCGGCCCAAGCCGCGGGTGCAGCACTTCACCTCGCTGATCTTCCCCGACTTCGACAGCGGCGTGGGCTGCCTCAAGGAGCTGGCCGACCGGCAGATCTGGCCCACGTCCATCCGCCTGATGGACAACAGGCAGTTCCGGTTCGGCCTCTCGCTCAAGCCGACCTCTGGGGGCCTCGCGCGGCAGGCCAAGGAGGCATTGGCCAAGTTCTACCTGCTGAGAGTGCGGGGGTTCGACCCGTATCGGCTGGTGGCGGCGACGGTGCTGCTGGAGGGAGATGAGGGCCACGTCAAGTACGTCGGCGGGGCGACGAGGGAGATCGCACGGAGGTGGGGCGCAGTGGAGGCGGGGGAGGAGGCCGGCAGGCTGGGATACTTCCTGTAAGCTTCCTGGGGGGCCTGGGGGAGGGAGGGAGGGAGAACTGACCAGCTCAGCTGCTGATGCGTGGGCTGTATTCGTCCATGTGTGTGTGTGTGTGTGTTCAGGACGTTCATGATAGCGTACATCCGCGACTTTTGCTTCGAGTACGGCTTCTTCGCAGAGAGCTTCGGTACCTTCCCCCCCCCCCCCCACACAGACAGAGAGAGAGAGAGAGAGCCAGCCTCTGCGCTTTTGTGTGTGTATGTTGTCTCCTGCTCAGAGACGGCGGTGCCGTGGTCGCGTATAAGCGCGTGTCGCGAGGCGGTGGAGGCTCAGATCCGGGCCGACTGCGCCAGGCTGGGTGTGCGCGGCGAGCCGTTCGTGACGTGCCGCATCTCGCAGATCTACGACCAGGGCGTCTGCATGTACTTCTACTTCGGATTCAACTTCATCCGGCTGCCGGTACGCCGCACACACACACACACGACCAGCCATCCACCCCTCCCTCCCACCCCCGTGTGTGGTGTGTCAGGAGGGTGTTGACGCGATGGCGGTGTATTCTGAGGTGGAGGATCGTGCGAGGCAGGCGATTCTGTGGGCGGGGGGCTCGGTGTCGCACCACCACGGGGTGGGCAAGATAAGGCGGCAGTACCTGGCCCCCACGGTGTCGGGCACTGGGCTGCGGATGCTGCGGGCCGTCAAGACGGCCGTCGACCCCAACAACACATTCGCAAATGGGGCGCTAGACCCTGACTCCTCGGCGTCTTAGTGTGAAGGAACTGATGTTTTGACCGGTTTTGTCCTTGTCCCGCCCGTCCTCTTATGTGTAGTTGACGTCAGGAATTCGCCGGCAGTGCGTGACGTGACAGTGTGGCTGTGTGGCTGTACAGCTGGTAGTGTGTGTGTGTGTGTGTGCCTGTCGGGGGAAGCCGCTGGCGTGTGCAGACGAACATGTGCATGTTTGTACACAGTTGAATGAGTGAGAATTAGCATGTATGTCTGACATCGGGTCTCGTGAAGAAGTGCAAGCCGAGTCCGCACCCACACCCACCCACCCACCCACATCCACAACCCATCCATCCACACCCGCAAACTGTGTGTACGTGTCCCGCCCAAGCGGTCGAGGCCCTGGTGGTACTGCAGCGTCTGACGTGTAGGCCGACAGACACTGCCGTCGCACCATCGCCCCGAAAGGAGGGAGGAGACACAACACAACACAGCACGGCACAAGACAGCAGAGCGCATCCGTCATCACAATTAATGCCCACCTTCCTCTCACAGACAGATAACATCACCCCTCCCTGTCCGTCGACAGCTGCCTCTCGGTGCTCGCTTCGTCCCTTGCATCTCTACCCGAGTAGGGAACCGTCTGTTTGCGTGAAGACCAAACAGGCGGTGGCCTACGCGGCAGCACTCGCAAACAACGAAGCAAGCACCAATCAGCTGCAAAACCAATCAAGTCAGTCAGTTGCCCTCAGTCTCTGCAGCCAGTCGTGACTGAGGCAGGCAGGCCAGCGGGCTGTTCTCCCTGCCGTGGACAGTCGCCTCACCTGGCGCATCGTCACGAAGTCGCCGTCAGCGCCGTGTAACGTGCCGGCCAACCACGTGACGATCTCACCACAGAGACGAATGCCACACCAACAGCAAAAAACCACCCATCATGCTCTCTTTTGTATCTTGCCCACAAGTACCGTACACACATGGCCAGAGAAAGATCGATCCGCAAGGCACGAAGAAACACGCTTGAGAAAGAGAAAGATCGGGCGGCAGCCTGCAGGGCAGGAAGGGGCCGGCATCAGTCGGTGTGACGCCATGCCTCCCTTCCCATCATGCCTGTCCATCCCCCCTCCATCCATCCATCCATCAGGCAAACGGCGACTCGGCTATCGAAAAAGAGCCGCACACACACATGGTCTCGTCATCGTCAGTCATAGATTCATCAGCTCGTCTCGTCAGTCTCTCTTAGAGGCACGAAAAACTTTGGGTGGCGACACTATCGACACGCACAGCAGGCACAGCACACGCCATGTAGAGCGACCGAAAAAGGCCTATGGGCACGAGAAGGAGGAGAGCCAAGCCGAGCTGGCTGTCAACCAGGCAGGCGCGACCCTCTCCCCCACTGCGCACACGCACACACGTACAGGTACAGGTACAGGTACACTGAAGGCTCCCTCCTCCTTCAAGCCTTCAATGGATCTCCACTTTGCGGGCCTTGCCCTGCTCGGGGGCGGTCTTGGCAAAGGTGATAGTCAGCACGCCGTCCTGCACACCACATCAAACACACACAGCGAGAGAAAACGATATATGCAGATGTATGTGTGTGTGTGTGTGTGTGTGTGGCCATCCATCCATCCATCCCTGTGATGGTGCACCCACCTCAAAGGAGGCCTTTGGGTCCTCCGTGTTCGCGTTGCCGGGCAGGGACAGCTTGCGCTCGAACGTGCCGACGGCCCGTTCGCGCAGGTGGTAGGTGGCCTCCTCCTTGGCGGCCTTTTCGCTGACCTCCTTGGCGGCCTCCTTGCCCTCGACCTCAGCGGTCTCGGGCACATCGCGCGACCACCTGCGCTCGCCGCTGATGGTGAGCACCTTGCCGCCCTCCTCGTCTGTGATGGATACCTTCACGTCACCTGCAGGGCACCGAATGGCCGACAATGGGTGGGTGAGGGTCGGTTGCGGTGTCTGGAGTGTGTCTGTGTGTGAGCCGACTCGCCTTTTTTGACGCCCGGGCAGTCGACGGTGACGATGTACTCCTTGTGTGTCTCCTGGACGTCAACGCTCCCCACTGCACACACACGTTAAGCACACAGACCACACAAAGTCAGCCGTGAGTGAGACACCACCAGCCATCACACCGCCTCGCCCCATCCACTTCACTCACTCATCGGCTTGGGCGGCACCAGCCTGGTGATAGCGGGATCACTGAACACGCGGGAGAAGAACTCGCCGCCGATGTCCTTGTCGAACCGCTTGATCAGCTGACTCATCTCGTCGCCAAGCATCGCCAAAGGGTGGTGGACATCCCGGGGATGGTGGAAGGGACGCAGATCCCCGCGGAAGTACCGTGCCTGGCCGCACTGTGCCAGCCCGTTGAGGCGCGACGCGATGCTGGACAGCACAGCGGGGTTGTTCAACGCTCCGAGGAGCGACTTGCTGGCAATCTGCACCGTCAGCGACATGTTGACAGATCTTCGGACGCAGCTCAAGATGGCTAATCAGGACGAACCAGAACTGAGAAGACGATAAGACGAGAATGCCGAGAGACAGAGGCAAATCGGACGACAAGACGCGCATCGCGAGCTCAAATCACAAGCTCGCACCTTCCGAATCTGTGCGGCCTCCCACCTCCCCCCCAGAAAGCACCTGGCATCGCGCACACGACTCTGCGGCCTGTGTGTCGCTCGTCGTGGAAATGGGCCATCTCCCTCCCTGGGAGCCTCCCGACAGATGACTACGGCGGCATGCGGCACCTGAGTGCGTCCTCGGCCTCTCGGCAAGGCGCCCGATACGAGCAGGTGCGGGCTGAGTAGGGAGTTGTGCGCCTCGGCGGCCACTCTGGCTGTCGAGAGAGGAAGGGGAGCCTTGTCCCTTGTGGCTGCGGTCTCTCATTGCTCGGCATGATGCTGCCGGCGACCGGCAAGGTGTCTTCAGCTTGCTATTGCTCGTGTATAGCCCATTCTGCTGCTTGCGAGGACTACTGAGGGGTGGGTCAAGATTGACTGTGCGCATCCTCGAGTCAAGTCACCATTGCGCGACAAGACAAGACAGCCGAGTTCTGTTGTGGCGGCTTCCTTCCTGTGCTGTTGGCTGTTGGCGATATGTCTATCTGCTTGGTCAAGAGGAGATTGTCCAAGAGCATGGCTGGCACCGATGCAGCACCGGCAGCTGTAACCCCCGTCCTCCCCCCCCATGTCGCCCTCTCGTGACGTCACAATCGCTTCGTGTCGTCCCGACGGCCATCCCC